ACAGGAAAGCTACCCATACGGATGCTTATCTGAAACCGGATTCCCACCACCATCCATCACAGAAGAATTCTCTCATCAAGACTCTGTATCATAGAGCCCAATGCATATCCGACCAGGAACACATAAGCAGTGAACTCAAGCACGTACACCAAGCTCTTAGGGCTAATGGTTACTCCGACTATACAATCCGCAAAGCTATCACTCAAACCATGAAGAAGAACCCTCTTGAGGAGCCTTTCAAAACCATCACTTTACCCTACATTGCTGGGATCACAAAAAAGATCTCCAAAATCTTGAATAAACACAAGATCCAGGTCCGTTTAAACACATTACATAAAATCCGTGATCTGGTTCCGTCTGTAAAAGATGTGATTCCGGACATACAATACCCTGGTGTCTACAAACTAAGTTGCCTCTGTGGTAGTAGTTACATTGGAGAAACCAAACGCCATATCTCGGACCGCATTCGTGAACATAAAGCAGACCTTAAACACGGTAGGACCAACACCTCGGCCGTAGCAGATCATTGTTCTAATTCAGTAGGCTCACATGCCATTGACTTTTCCAAGACGGAGGTTCTTTGTAAGCCATCTGGCTTCCATGAGAGATTCGTTCATGAGGCTATCCACATATACAAACACAGAGACAATTTCAACCGAGAAGATGGATTCTATCTTAGCAATCATTGGAAAGATTTGATAAATCATTTCAGTTCTTGATTGATTGTTCACGCTTACAGTGGCTTTCAGACAGCATACATAAAAACAAATTTCGTCTCCCCCCTCCTCTTTTCAAAAAATAGATGGACTAGTCCTGGCAAACAGCCAATCGTTGCGCGTGACGCAAACGTTATTTTTTATATATATATAAATAAATATGCCGTTTTCAAAATAAATTTATGCAAACCGACACACCTGATGATGACCGTTTGAGTTATGGTCGAAACGTCGTGAGAATTTTTTATTGTTTTATATATATTTTGTTATTTTGTTGTTTCTCTTCAACGTGACTTTACCGAAAAAACTAAGAATATGAATTACTGCAGTCACGAAAGCTTTAAATCAAAACAAGTAGCCTTCTTCAGGTGAAGAAACAGGACTGTCCAGAAGACAGCGCTTAAGTTAACACTGCCAAGCATGGACAGCGTCTTTTAAGCTGTGTGGGAGGAATTAACATATGAATCATCACGTGAATATGAGGGACACGCTTCGGAACGAAACGTCGTGAGACTTTTATGTTTATTATGTTTAATTTTTATTATTTTATTTCCATTCTACGTGACTTTACCGAAAGAACCAAGAAGATGAATCCCTGCAGTCACGAAAGCTTTAAATCGAAAATTATTTATCTTTTGTCAACGCGACACTTTTTTACTGATTGGCTGTGTCGGGTGGTGGAGGGTTACGACACATTTATAAATAACGCGATCTAACCCAAAAACCTTTATTATGAATAATATTGGTCGCGAAAGCCTACGTGTTCAACTGATTAGATAACATATTCTTGGTTCTTTCGGTAAAGTCACGTAGAAGGGAAACAATAAAGTAATAAAAATATAAAAGAATTAAATTCTCACGATGTTTCGACTGCAACACAAGCAATCATCATCTGGTGTGAAAACCACTGCAAGAAAATTTCAAATTTCAAATTATTGTTTCCCTTCTACGTGACTTTACCGAAAGAACCAAGAATATGAATCCCTGCAGTCACGAAAGCTTTAAATAAAAATTTGATTAGATAACATTATTAAATTATTAAGCTTTCTAGAATATGCATGTACATTTAAGTTTGCAAGGCTATAAACATTCTGGACCAATACTCTTGGGTTCTTTCGGAAAAGTCACGTAGGTAGAAATAAAATTACGTAAAATATTTTTACATAATAAAAGTATTTTTATTTTATTTTATATTATGGATTCCTTCAGCCATGAAAGCTTCAAATCAAGATTATTCTGGACCAATGTTTTTCAGCAGCATTTGTTTAAGAGGCAAAGTGGACCAGTGTTCATGCCTCTCTCCTTGTCTCATACAATACAGAACCCTCATCTCATAAATACAGAACCCTCACCCCCATCTGATTCACAACCCTCGTCTCATCTGACACAGAACTCTTGATCCATCCAATAAAGAAGCACTATCTACACAGGCTGGCTCAAAAAGTGCCGCCTATTTACAGTTTTTTGTTGTGTTTTTTTTTTTTACATAAAAAGCTCATGAGAAAAACGGCTTTACCTAGTAAAACGAGGCTCTTCTATACGTATCACTTCTATACGTATGCACCACTGTTGCCGTCTATTGCTATTTCAGAGTGGTTGTCCGATAGAGACACTTGACTTCTACCATAGGGATATGGAATTTCCACCAACGGAAATGTCTGCCACGCCATATTTTATTTGAGCAGGGAGCCATGCTCACTTTTGAATGAAGGCCTCAATCCAGACCACAGTAAATGCACAACAGTGTACAGTGAGGTAAAAAAAGTATTTGATCCCCTGCTGATTTTGTACGTTTGCCCACAGACAAAGAAATGATCAGTCTATAATTTTAATGGTAGGTTTATTTGAACAGTGAGAGACAGAATAACAACAGAAAAACGCATGTCAAAAATGTTATAAATTGATTTGCATTTTAATGAGGGAGATAAGTATTTGACCCCTCTGCAAAACATGACTTAGTACTTGGTGGCAAAACCCTTCTTGGCAATCACAGAGATCAGACGTTTCTTGTAGTTGGCCACCAGGTTTGCACACATCTAAGGAGGGATTTTGTCCCACTCCTCTTTGCAGATCTTCTTCAAGTCATTAAGGTTTCGAGGCTGACGTTTGGCAACTCGAACTTTCAGCTCCCTCCATAGATGTTCTATGGGATTAATGTCTGGAGACTGGCTAGGCCACTCCAGGACCTTAATGTGCTTCTTCTTGAGCCACTCCTTTGTTACCTTGGCCGTGTGTTTTGGGTCATTGTCATGCTGGAATACCCATCCACGACCCATTTTCAATGCCCTGGCTGAGGGAAGGAGGTTCTCACCCAAGATTTGACGGTACATGGCCCCGTCCATCGTTCCTTTGATGCGGTGAAGTTGTCCTGTCCCCTTAACAGAAAAAACACCCCCAAAGCATAATGTTTCCACTTCCATGTTTGACGGTGGGGATGGTGTTCTTGGGGTCATAGGCAGCATTCCTCCTCCTCCAAACACGGCGAGTTCAGTTGATGCCAAAGAGCTCCATTTTGGTCTCATCTGACCACAACACTTTCACCCAGTTGTCCTCTGAATCATTCAGATGTTCATTGGAAAACTTCAGACGAGCATGTATATGTGCTTTCTTGAGCAGGGGGACCTTGCGGGCGCTGCAGGATTTCAGTCCTTCACGGCGTAGTGTGTTACCAATTGTTTTCTTGGTGACTATGGTCCCAGCTGCCTTGAGATCATTGACAAGATCCTCCCGTGTAGTTCTGGGCTGATTCCTCACCGTTCTCATGATCATTGCAACTCCACGAGGTGAGATCTTGCATGGAGCCCCAGGCCGAGGGAGATTGACAGTTCATCTTCTTTGGTTCTTTCGGTAAAGTCACGTAGAATGAGAATAAAATAATAAATTAATTAAATAAAATAACACAATAAAATTCTCACGACGTTTCGGCCACAACACAAGTGGCCTTCTTCAGGTGAAAGGAACAGACCTGTCGGGACGACAAAGCTTCAATGAACGTTAAGATTCGTAGCGTCTTTTAAGCTGGTTTAGAGAAGTGAGGCACCTTGACAAAGGGGTTTACATATCAAACAGGAGAATTTATCATTGAAATAGCTGAGTGATTAGCTTGTGACTGGTCATAGAAATGGCTATGTTAAAGTCAAAGCTTACACATCCACAGAGGCACCTGGTACAAATCAAACAAGATAATTTAGCATTGAAATAACTGAGTGATTAGCTTGTGACTGGTCATAGAAATAGCTATGTTAAAGTCAAAGCCTAGCTATTTCTATGACCAGTCACAAGCTAATCACTCAGTTATTTCAATGCTAAATTCTCCTGTTTGATTTGTACTAGGTGCCTCTGTGGATGTGTTGGCTTTGACTTTAACATAGCCATTTCTGTGACCAGTCACAAGCTAATCACTCAGCTATTTCAATGCTAAATTATCCTGTTTGATTTGTACTAGGTGCCTCTGTGGATGTGTAAGCTTTGACTTTAACATAGCTATTTCTATGACCAGTCACAAGCTAATCACTCAGATATTTCAATGCTAAATTCTCCTGTTTGATATGTAAACCCCTTTGTCAAGGTGCCTCACTTCTCTAAACCAGCTTAAAAGACGCTACCAATCTTAACAACGTTCATTGAAGCTCTGTCGTCCCGACAGGTCTGTTCCTTTCACCTGAAGAAGACCACTTGTGTTGTGGCCGAAACGTCGTGAGAATTTTATTCTGTTATTTTATTTTATTAATTTATTATTTTATTCTCATTCTACGTGACTTTACCAAAAGAAGATGAATCCTTGCAGTCACGAAAGCTTTAAATCAAAAGATTGACAGTTCTTTTGTGTTTCTTCCATTTGCGAATAATCGCACCAACTGTTGTCACCTTCTCACCAAGCTGCTTGGCAAAGGTCTTGTAGCCCATTCCAGCCTTGTGTAGGTCTACAATCTTGTCCCTAGCATCCTTGAAGAGCTCTTTGGTCTTGGCCATGGTGGAGAGTTTGGAATCTGATTGATTGATTGCTTCTGTGGACAGGTGTCTTTTATACAGGTAACAAGCTGAGATTAGGAGCACTCCCTTTAAGAGTGTGCTCCTAAACTCAGCTCGTTACCTGTATAAAAGACACCTGTGAGCCAGAAATCGTTCTGATTGAGAGGGGGTCAAATACTTATTTCCCTCATTTTTGACATGCGTTTTTCTGGATTTTTGTTGTCATTCTGTCTCTCACTGTTCAAATAAACCTACCATTAAAATTGTAGACTAATCATTTCCTTGCCAGTGGGCAAACGTACAAAATCAGCAGGGGATCAAATGCTTTTTTCCCTCACTGTATCATATCAAATATGGGTTAGCATTAATTTGGCTAAATTCAAGCTCTGAAAATTCAACATATTGGTTCAGATGACAATCTCAAAGCAGAGCACATGGGAATTTGCGACCCTTACAGTGGACGGGACAAAACGGGCACTTGGTTTCTCTTCATTGACACAAGGTTTACACTGCTCTGCGAGATTACGATGCTGAAAGCACAATGTAATACATCAGGGAAAATGCCCCCCATAGAATAAAAGACATTCATGACGCAGTGACGTGAACTATAACCTTGAGTGGCACGAGGAACGAGACTAAAAGTTCTTCCAGGCGTTAATGAAACCCTTGGGACATCGACGATGATGACGACGGACAAAGTGTATTGCACTTTAAACAGACCGTGCGGGGAAATAACACAGGTTCATGAAGGCCGTACATTTTATGTTTTTATGTCAGGACACAGACTTCTCGTACAGCCTTTATTAAACTCAACCGATCTCTGACAAGACACGGCTATGCCAGTGCGTCAGAGTGGTAATATGATAAGTGAATGAAAGATAAACAACCACATTAGTTGATGGACTGGTTTAGGTCTCAACCCACATCTCACCTCACGGGCACCTGGCTTCACAAGCCCAATATAAGGGGCAGTTAGGAAGCTGTGAGATATACGCCAACGGCAAGAACACCTAATACTTCACGTCCTTAAAGCTCACCGTCAAGTTATGTCATTCTACAGTGCATTCGTGAACATCATAATAATTATTATTATTCTTTTGACAACGCTATTTAAACGTTCGGTATGTGTTATATAAGCCACATTCTGCTGATGAGACTCAGAGAGTCAAAATCGGTCGGTATGTGTTATATAAGCCACATTCTGCTGATGAGACTCAGAGAGTCAAAATCGGTCCATAGCTTTGCCCGCTCAAACGAATGTTTCTGGAAAACAGATCTGGAAGGCCAATAAACGTATCAGCAACAGTCGGTATGTCCACTGCTTAATGAAGGAATCCCCATATGATCACCATCCCTTACGGTCCAGTGCTGCAAGCCATCCATCTCACAGCCGCACATTAACTGATCCCATAGCGCCATCTCTACTGTGGACGTCCTATGTGACACGTTCTCTCCAATAGCTGCCATTCCATCAATCTGTCTCGGCCATCCTAACGAGGGGACACGTTGGTCCAGCGGTGGGTGCTGTGATGCCAGACGGACAGCCAGGGTCGGATTAAAGTTGTTTAGCTGTGGCAAAGCCATGAACGATGTTATCGTAAGACAAACAAGTTCAATAAAAGTGTGTAGAAATACCGATGGCCACGCTACTGTCGCTCAGTTGTAACAGCAACATAGAATGGAGGGCCTTGAGGAGGGCCTACAAAACTAGGCCCTATGGATGAATCCAGTGTTCTTCACTAATTTTCAGAGGGGCGGGACACTTTCGCCTATAATGCATCAGTGTGAGGGCCGCCACACGTTTGAAACCATTGGGTTTGACAGCAGCACGATGTATGTGTGTGGTCTCCAATCCATGTGTTCCTGTTCATGTGCAGGTTAATATATTTGTGCCAATAATATACAGCGCCTGTGTATATTTCCTTCACAATTGTCTTGCTTTGAAGCACTGTCGTTCCGACAGTTCTGTTCCTTCACCTGAAGAAGGCTACTTGTGTTGTGGCCGAAACGTCGTGAGAATTTTATTGTCTTATTTTGTTTTATTGTTTTATTCTCATTCTACGTGACTTTACCGAAAGAACCAAGAAGATTAAACAGCACTTTTTTTTACCCTAGATGGGCAGGCCCACTTGCAATTTGAGTCTTCAGTGCACTCTCCATTGTTTTCACTGTAACACAGGCGTTTACACATCCCCATCACCTGCTCCATCCGTTGGCACTTTCATTCATCCTGTTGAGTTCGAGTGGAGCCGACTAGAGCGGTGCGTGTGGTGTAGGAGGGACGCCAAACGAGGTAACCGCATGGCATGGATTGTGAGTTTTAACAAAGGCAGATATTGTAGAGGGGTTGCTCTCGCACAAACACACCACGCGTGTGAATGTTGGTCTACGTGTCTATCTGTACATGTACTTGTGTGTATGTAAAATTCCACTGATGTTGACCGTGGCTGGAAATCGAACACAGGTCGCCGTGTACGATTCCCGGGCCAAGGCCAACATCAGTGACAAATATCTGAACCGGTCCTGTGACTCCCCCAGATCAGCGCCGAGCCTTAAACGAGTAAGCTGCTGCTGCTGCAATGTGTGAACATCAGCACTGGGGAGACAAAAGTGGCCGTGCGTGGTGCTGACTACGCCACATCCTGATCTGTATAAGTACTCGCTAAAAGCACCCGTCCCAACAGACGCTGTAGACGATACCGGTGGGGACCTTTTGTGGGATCTTTGTCTGTGTGTCTAAGTGTCAATCATTGATCTTAATGTAGGAACAGGTTAGAGTTAACTAGAGCAACAGTAGGCCTCTTTCCAGGTCGGTATGACCTGTGCTTGTTTATTTGGCGAATGTGTAGTTGCAGCTATGTTCATACATTTCATGTACTGCGATGCAGTATGGACATATGTGCCAGGCTAAGTGTTTGTTTGTGTATATTGTACACATTGTGTAACAAGTGTGTATTGGGCGTTGTGTATATTTGTCAATGTGTGTAGCTCTGTGCACGAGTGTGTATGTCATGTACATGTGTGTACAGATGTCTACGTGTATAAAACAACTTGTCAATGTATACATACAAGTGAGTGGACAAATTTAGATGTATGTTGAACTTCTATTGCACCGTAGGTAGCCAATCGTGCTAATCGGAGGTGCGGGGGAAGGGCCACAAACTAAACCCACGCAAACAAAACATCTGCTAATCCAGCCGACTTTGTTTTGCAAGCCTGACTCTGCTGATGAGACCGAGAAAGGTCGAGACCGGTCCCGAGTATTAACAGTCTGGCAGGTGAAATGTTCGCAAAAGACAAAACTGCAGCTACGACAATTTTTATTGCATCGCTGACACCAAACCTGGATAGTGCTTGGTCGGGTGACCACCATGTAAAAACAGCATGTGTTTTCGGCTTCTGCGTGGCTACATTGTGCGGATAAGTCTATTGTTGAAACTGTACTGTGCTCCCAACATTTATGGTCCTCGCCGTCACGAACCTGCACTGACCGGTTCGATTAAGTGTGTGGGGTAGGAGGTTCAACAATCGTAGTTGGTTGCTTCCTCTGTTGACATGTGCGGCCATGTGCACGCGTGAAATGCACTTTGACCGCGTAACTTTAAATAACTTCCAGGGCCAAAGTGTCTCAACGTGCACGGCAAAGTCGCCGCCGCCGGCAGCGCTCAAAGTGGGGCCCCGCAGGTAGGAACGGTCCTCTTACCTTCTTCCACTCCAGGTCAGTTTTCAAGGGAGTAACGATGTTTTTGAAAGAGGGCACTTTGGGACACCGTCGCAAAATTGTGTAGATTTGTACAAGTGTTATTATTATTATACAGGCCACTATACTTCAGTAGGGATTACCGTTGGTACGGCTATTTTAATACAATGGACGTGAAGGATAGATCAAAGGCCTCGCATAATGTATGATGTACGTTGACTCATTAACCCCCCCCTCCACTTTGAGCAAGAACGTAGAAGTGCGGTCACAACATCGACGCCTCTATATGAAGAACTAAACAGTTAAGACTCCTCCACAAATGTGGCTGTCGCCTGATGAAGCTAGTTGTAATTACTGGCGAAACGTCGTACTCGGATTGTAAATGTTGTGGCTTGGCTCTCCAACACACCGGTGTGCTGTACTAATGACGAATTGGCCACGTTCTGTTTACGTGACGACCCTTACTAGTTGGCTGTGTCGGGTGGTGGCGGGTTGATAAGGGTCAATTATTATTTAAGCTTAAACGCGTTGAGCTTTAAGCCTTCATCCACTGCTGGATGAAGCCCTCCCCCCACTCCTTGCCGATCTGTGATCACACATCGCCACGCTGTTCATTGCCGGGATGAAGAGAGTCAGTCCAGCATTGTCTCACACTTCAAAGTGGCACTGACCTCAGTCAACCACGGCATCTGACGTTGACCTCTGACCAGCGCTGTTTTCATCATTCGTCTCGGCGTGCGCGATGCACCAGCGGTACTGAACCGTACCTAGCCACTGCACTAACCTCCTGTTGAATGTTGTTTCAACCGAGTTACCCCCTTGCCTGACTCAACATCGTCCGGATAAATACATGTCATGAATAATGAACGTCAATATTTTAACCGATTGTCCGTTTGGTGAGGCATCCTAACTAGCTGGTAACTGCAAGCGAATAATACAAAATTATAACGAACGCTCTCTGCGTGCACAATGTAATTTGTTGGTTACTTTTTATTTTATTTTATATCGGCAGATTCATGCACGATTATTCACCGATGACTCCCGTGTATGAAATAATTCCACACATTTATAAATCACATCACGTACCCCACCCCCTCCCCCCCTCTTGGTTGAGAACCACCGCGCTACGAGATGCCGACGCTGCGGGGCTACGCGTGGCAGCTGCCGACGCTGCTACTGCCGCTGCTGCTGCTGCTGCCACCTTCGCCGTGGTCTCCCTCCGCCACCGCGGAGGCGGCGCGAATCCTCGCGGTGCCCGTGGACGGCAGCCACTGGATGGGCATGAAGACGCTGCTGCTGGAGCTGACCCGGCGCGGGCACAGCATCACCGTCCTGCGCAGCAGCACGACTCTGTTCGTGGACGAGACATCCGACGACTTCCACATCGAGAACGTGCAGGTGAGAGACGCTCGCCTGAGATTGCGGGTGGGGCGGCATCCCCATCGCCTCCACCCATCGAAACCTCGAAGATTGTTATTTTGATTTAAAGCTTTCGTGACTGCAGTAATTCATATTCTTAGCTCTTTCGGTAAAGTCACGTTGAAGGAGAAACAAAATTATAAAATATATATAAAACAATAAAAATTATCACGACGTTTCGACCATAACACAAACGGTCGTCATCAGGTGTGTCGGTTTGCACAGCTGATGACGACCGTTTGTGTTATGGTCGAAACGTCGTGAGAATTTGTATTGTTTTATATATATTATTTTATTGTTTCCCTTCAACGTGACTTTACCGAAAGAGCTAAGAATACCTCGAAGATTGTTATTTTACAATGTATACCAGAGGGAATATGTTGAATGTTTGTATAAATGAAGGCCCTTATTTAAAAAGCTTGCATTTTTTTTATTGTTGAAATTTCGGGAGCATCCACCACCTCCGATTAGCGCGGTTTGCTACGTACGGTGCGAAATAAGTTATTTGGGAGGTTTCTAGATCCGTCTCTGGTGGAAGGGATGAAAGTTACCCAACTTCTGGGAGGCTCAACCAAGGCACATGGGTGGGTTGAGCCGGCAGTCCATCCCACTTTTCAATAACCCCGCCCACTCTATCGCTAGCACCGCCCATTTTTGATAACCATGCCCACTTCTCAGATAGCCCCACCCCCCACATCAACTCGCCCCACCCATTTAACCCCACATCGTGAGTCGGAAGGCAGAACATTCCGAAAAGGAAAGTCGGGGGACAGCTTATCTGAAACCGGGGACTGTCCCACACACATCGGGAATGTTTGGGAGCTTTCGGGAGAAGAGTGTGGGGTAGTGTAGGGAGCGTGGGGAGAGTTTGGAGAGTGTTGATTGTAGAATGAATTTTGCAGCTGTGGCGACACTTCCTGATGCACCTCTTTTCACAAATAAACATCACCAGTTGGATTAAGTTTACGTGAATATAGAATTACAACAGAAATAACGAACCCATGGAAAATGAGTTGAGATCACGGTTAATATTAGTCACAGGTAATAAAAGCTTGGATTAGAGGAGTTTCACTTGAAAGCGTTAAGTCATTTAGAATAATGATTATTATTTTTAATAATCTTAGTTGGCAGTCCCGACCCAGTGGTATTCGCCTTAAAAACGGTGTGGCAATGGAACTCATGGTGCAGGGTGGCGCTGCGGTTCGAGCGAGTGACTGGCGATGAGAAGGCTGCGAGTTGAAATACCGGTTAGAGGTCTTCTCCGCCTATCGCTATCATCGTCACCACCTCTCCACAGGGTCGATAACATCACCCACTACATTTATGGCACAGAGTCCATCCCATTGACTTGCTGGGGCACAGAGATGGAATGTGGGACTTCCGCTTTTGGCTCACGTGACCACCTACCTCATCGCTCGTTGGAGCCTTATTTACTGTTGAGAAGCTATCAGAAAGTACCGATGAGATGGCAGGTGTGTCACACTGAAAGTCCTGTGGTCAGGACCAACGCTAATGTGTATACACTGCACTGGCACTCATTGAGGCAGCATAGGAGAGGCCCAGGCTCGGTTTAGATACAATGTGCCACTGATGTTATGCGTGGTCCGGATTTGAACTCAAGTAGCTGGGTTCATAGTGCAGTGCATGGTCCATTGTACCACACCACTCCCCACTACACCACAATGGATGTACTTTGTAACTGTGCCATGTACATGCAGTGGTACAGCATAAACTATAATACAGGATAACTGCTCTTATCAGTGACCCTATCACCGGCCACTCTACTATCTGCGGGAACCATCGAGTCCGCAATAGCTCCTATTATGAGCGGCCCAATTCTTCGAACGATCTGCAATTATCCGCGACATTTCCCACAATGACTTTTCCCACAGTTAATTGGGGAACGGCTTCCAAGCAAGAGTGGTGCAGGAAATTCACCTACATGGGTCATCCACAACTTTTTTTTTTTTTTACCCCACCGATAAGTGGAGTAAAATCAGGCGTGACCCCTTGGGGACAACAGCATCCGCCATTCCGTCACCGCCAGATTCCGGCCAAGACGGTGATCACTCGCGAGGAGGGCTTGGCAATGGCCGAGCGCTGGATCCTGGACGTCGCCTTCGCTCCGCCGAGCTCGTTTTTCAGCACCGTCTCCTCCACGCTGGCGATGGCACGGGCGATGGCCGGCATGGCGTCCGACATGGCGGTGGCCATCGAGCAGACGCTGGGCGACGGCGCGCTCATGTCGCGGCTGCGGGACGCGCGGTTCGACGCCGTTCTCGCCGACACGTTCTACCCCGGCGGGCCCATGGTGGCACGTGCACTCGGCCTCCCCGTCGCGCTGCTGGGCCGCTGGGAGGTGGGCGGCGACGTGCACCTGCAGCTGGCGCCTGCGCCGCTCTCTTACGTGCCGGCGCTCGACTCGCGCTACAGCGACCACATGGGATTCGCGCAGCGCCTCGACAACTTCATCAGGTTCGGCGGCGGGCGAGCGGGCGACCCGACGCTTCCGCGGGGCGAAGTGCAAAGTGCGGAACGAAAAAAGTTACGATGCTGCCCAGTGCCGTCCTCCGGCCAAGTGGCAAACGGATAATGGGTTTGTGCGATTTGATTTGAGGCCACGGATGATTTGTTGCAGACAACAGGAGTGTGGATTAGAGGAGTTTCACTTGAAAGTGTGTTATTATTGTTTAAAACAATCTTGACGATCATCTTAGTCGGCAGCCGTGAGCCAGCAGTGTCGGCCTGAATAGACAGTTATGAATGTAACTCATGGGGCAGGGTGCTGCTGTGGTTAGTGCGATTGACTCGCGATCGGTAGGCAGCAAGTTCAGTGGTGGTTGAATTTCCACCACTGGCCAATGTAATTTTGTGCATTGGTTCTGTCCATCTGAAATGGGAAGGCACAATAACTCCACTAAAGATGTTCCAATATCAACAAAACTTGCATACAAACTTGTTTTGCTCTTATTGACTTGCCCTGTTGAAAACTGGCCACATTGGTAGCGATGTTGTTCAAAACCTGGAGCCACAAACCGGAGCAAAAAGGACCATTTTTAAATATGCAAAGTATTTTCGCCCTGACAACTCCGGTCAGCTGTTGTACCACAAATCCAATATTTCCGAAGATAAACACACGTTGGAATGCGTTACAATCTGCATGCGCATCTATTGATTTTTCCATCTCGTTTCTTCCGTCAGTCGTCACATGGCGGTTGACAATGAGGCTGGACGAACTTCCACTCTCTAGTCATGGCGATCGCTTCCTCTAGGCCTACGCTTTTCTCCTTCATATCCTTCTTTGCACCTGATCCTGTTAGATCTCCAAAGCTAAGCAGGTTTGATCCTGGATAATGCATAACCGCACGCGTTATAGGCCACCTCGTGGCTAAATTGTGACCAGTGTAAAATCTACGCTCCCCGCACTTGTACACGCGCGCAGGTACTGGAGCGCGTACGTGCTCAACCGCGCGCTCGTCTTCCCCACGTTCGACCGCCTGTGCGAGCGCCACCTGGGTGCCGACGTCTCCTACGAGCAGCTGTACCAGCGCGCCGACGTCGTGCTGCTCAAGATCGACTTCGTGCTCGAGTACCCGCGCCCCACCATGCCCAACTTCGTGTACGTGGGCGGCCTCCAGTGCCAGGAGGCGCGGCCGCTCGCCGGCGAGCTGGCGGCGCTGTACGCCGGCGCGGGTCCGCACGGCGTGGTGGTGGCGTCGTTCGGCTCGCTCGTCTCCTCGCTGCCGCCGCGCGTCGCCGAGGAGGTGGCCCGAGCGTTCGCCCGCCTGCCGCAGAAGGTGGCGTGGCGCCACGCGGGACCGCGGCCGCTCGGGCTCGGCGACAACACGCTGCTGCTGCCGTGGCTGCCGCAGAACGACCTGCTGGCGCACGGCGCCACGCGGGCCTTCGTGTCGCACGGCGGCGAGGGCGGCGTCTACGAGGCCATCCGCCACGGCGTCCCGCTGCTCGGCATGCCCATGTACGGTGACCAGCACGACAACGTGGCGCGGCTGGTGGAGCGCGGTGCTGCGCTGTCGCTCGGCGGGCGGCTGCACGCACTGACGAGCGACGAGTTCCTGGCGCCGCTGCGGCGGCTGCTGGACGAGCCGCGGTTTGGCGAGGCGATGCGCCGGCTGTCCCTCCTGCACCGCGACACGCCGGTGCCGCCGCTGGACCTCGCCACGTTCTGGGTGGAGTTCCTGGCGAGGAACGGCGGGGCGTCGCACCTGCGCGTCGCCGGCCTCGAGATGCCCACGTACCGCAGGTGCTCGCTGGATGTGGCGCTGGCGCTGCTGCTGGCGCTCGTGGCGGCGGTTGCAGTTGGCGCCTTGATGTTGGTGCGGGTCAAGAGGTGGCTTTGTCAGTCGGATGAGAGGCCGAAGAGGGAGTGAGCGAGCGAGTGGTAGAGGTGGTTGTGATGGATGTCGAACAGCTGTCTGCGCGTAGAAAACCGTGCTAATCGGTGCAGGGGAAAGGACAACAAACTACAATCTAGAGATTACGATGGTATTGGTGTTGATTATGATTGTGATAATACTGATTGGAGTGATGATTTTTTTTTGTTTGTTATCGAGTTCTTCACTGAAACTAACGCCTCTGTCCAGATTCGTCAACAGCGGGTCACACCGTGGCAGACAACACGAGACGTGTGCGGAGCATCTTCATTAAAAAAAAAACAATAACACATGTACGTACACGGGCGGCCAATATCGACTCCGGCCAGGAGGTGGCTGGCAGGGCTCTTGAGTCGAGAACCTTGCATCCACGACCATCCGTGTGTATAACTGGTCTCTGATGCAGACCTGCGCAGTGCGGTGATATACACACATACCGTTGCCACTTTTGCAAATAAATGTGGTGCCGCCCATCTGAAGCCCCTTCACTTGGAACGTGCAACGTGCGTTATTAACCCCCGACCCCGCGCGCCTGTGAACAACCGCACGAGTCGTCGAGTGGTTCAACGATGGCTGATGAAACCGAGGTGCAGTAGCAGCAGCAGCAGCGACGAATTGGCAGCAATCCCAACAAATTCAGCGGTGTTTGCGGTGGGGGTCGACTGCAGCGGCATTTCTCCACAATCCCTGCTTCGGATTGTGGAGAAATGACAACACCCTGCCCGAAGGTGTTTGTTTAAAGTCGGGCATGTGTCTGTAATCAACGTAACTAAAGAAACCGGTACACTGTACTTCGTATCATGAATTGCATCATTACTACTATCATGAGCCAAGAATGTCTGTGTGTAACGCGCGTGACGTCACTCCACATGCCGCACCCCCCCCCCACCCCGTCATTAATATTCATGAGCGGGTGGATTTTTACACTCACGCAGAAGGTCGAGCGGAAATACGTTGTTTCACAAATTCGCTTTAAGTTTGACGTTTCTTTATTGAAGGTGAATCTAATAGATAATTCTATGCGGCAACAAAGTGGATTTGGTGTCTTTATTTCTTCAGCACTTGAGACTAAAGGTAAGTCTAATTTACGCTTCTACATTATGGTAAAATAGACATTGCTCGGTGATTTTGCAGATATTGTATCGAATTCCAATTTATTTCAACCCCAGCGACCGAAAGCAGAAGAGAATAAAGTACCAGAGCAGTGAATTTTAACAAATCGAAGGTCAGTTATATACAGTTGCTACAGTCACATGAAGTGAGGTGTTTTATGACGTAGTTTTGTGCCAGATTCACTGCCATTACATTCACACAAGATGCAATAATACTCTGCTCATTTTTTTCAGAAATATTACAGCTTCCTGTCCGAGGACGGGCAAACAGGCCAGTTGATAAGCTATTATTAGGAGCATCACTTTGCGTCTCATTTCCACACCGAGTTCCCATTCTGTTTGGACACGTTTTGTGTCACGCACTCCCCGTTTGGTTTTACAGGTTTCGAGTGCTCGGTTTAAATGTTTTTAGACTCCCGTCACAAAGCGTGGGAGGACTTGGCAAATCACGGGTTGGGGTGACACCCACGCAAGAATCTCGCCTCGGGGCAACGTGAGGCTACTTGGGACAAGAATCCGTTCGGGAGCGCCTATTTTAGGCCAGCACGATTGCCCCCCTCGTTGCTGTTGTCCTGGCCATGTGCAGGTTTCCCCGGGACGTTACAAGTTCTCCTCGTTGATATCCTTCATCCCACGTGTCCCAGTTTTTGTGTGTGTGTGTGTGTACCTCAAGAACGGTAACCCTAAGCATTGCTGAGTCGTGTGTGTGTGTAGAGATTAACAACACCAAGCCCGGTGACAGGGATTAGATTAGATTCCTAACAAGGAACAACATCGCTAGCACGTAGCAATCTCAATCTGTCGTGGGCCTCCCCAAGGCTCGCCGAGCCATAAATGACGTGGCTGGTGTGGCGGGCGTGGCTGAGCATCAGCACCGGGAAGGCAAAGGTGGCCGGGCATAGTGTTATCCACACCACTCCCTTATTTCGTGCCACACCGTGTTCAACGGCAGTGCTGTTGACGGACGTGTTGAGGTTTTGTTGTTGTGAATCGCGCTTGTTACACCACGGCAGCAGCAGCATCATCAAATAATTTGTTCTGACTTTAATAGGTACTTGCTGAGGCTAACCAGGGGTGGGGAAACCTTGTTTTCTGCCAAGAGCCATTTGGATATTTATATAACATCATTCGCGGGCCATAGAAAATTATCAACTTAAAAATTAGCCTGTTATATTTGGTCAAACATTTAATTAACTCGCCCCTAATGCGATGGCTGGAACTGCTTCTCTTTGGTGAGGCGTGTGATGATGTTAGCTGGTATTGACGATGTTGCTGCTACTCGCAACTGCTTTTCCAGGTTTGCTCCTAGATTTATTGGAATTCGAGTCCCGCCTACGGTTGCCTTGGCAGGGCCAGAGACCAAATGATTTCGCGGGCCTCACACGGCCCGCGGGCCGGACGTTCCCCACCCCTGGGTTAAACGGTGGATATTTGGTGCGTGCGTTAAACTGCCAGCGGGCAATTTGCCAATACAAAAACACACATTGATGGTGTCATGCCCCTAGGCTCGCCTGTTGCGATGTTGTTCACGGGCGCGAGTCGCCTCCTCAATGCGGCATCACCTTCCCAGCTGAAGTCGGCTCTGACCACGGGCGATCCACAGTTCTGCAATGACCTCTGAACCAGCAGGCCGCTTGAGAGTACAAATGAACCTTATGGCGATACCCCGGGGTTCCATAGTAGCCCGGCTCTCGCATAATGTCCGTGATGCAGTCATTGTTAGTCTGTTGATGGTCGGCGATGAGGCAATGGACTCATCTCGACGAGCTGTACACGATGCACTATTCAAAGTTGAATTTTTCGATAACGGATTTTGTGATGCTGATGTTCGGCGTTTCGACATCGCGGAGTAGCACTGATTTCGGATTGATTGGTACCCCAGTTGCGGAGTTAAGTTACACCCCTGGGAAAAAAAGTGTCTCATAAATAAAATATTCAATTGCTTCGGCCAGTTTGTATTATTTGGTACCCCGGGTTACCGCCATAAAGATCAAACAACGAAGAAACCTCCCTTCCCTCTCAACACATTCATTCACAACCCCGTGGCCTTCAACGGTAACGTATACATATATATTTATAGCCTAGGCGATGTTTCAGGCAATGGCCCTTCACCGTGCACAGACGAACGTTTTAAAAGTACAGTATTTACCGTGCAATGGCTTGCAACGTCATGAAGCTATAAACATTGTCGTTACTTTTTAAAGCGATTCAGCTGCAACAGTTGCGCAAGTGATGGGCGCACTGGGACCCAGCTTCAAACGGACCGTGCGGCTGGCGTTTGCGCAGTGGTTAAAACACTTTGCTTTGAAACCCCCGGCGACCTTGGCACGGGTGGCCACGTACGGTGCACAAAAAAGTTCAACAAACATACAAGCCGAGATCGATTTGTGGCCACGGCTAATATCAGTTGGCGAGTGACGTGAACCGGTAGCCACGTGCTTTCAAACAACCCACATGACTGACGAAGCATCCCAGCAGTGGCTTTGCCAATGGATGTAATAATTTACGATTGTGCGTGCATTTGAACGGCACTCACGGATTAAAAGGAAATGTAATGGCCGCATCAGGGCGTACGTTTGGTCGCGCGTGTGTGTGTGTGTGTGTATTTAAGTGCGATAATTTAGGAATGAATGCGTTCTGACATCACAGTCAACCTCCTCATGCAGGATGTGAACTTATAATGTGTGCGAGTTGGCGTGGCGTAGCGTGGCTGGCATGATCCGTGGCACAAGGAATGGATATAAGCTCCCCTCTCCCCGATCCGTATTGCTGTTCGTAGCCCAGGGTCAAGGGCCCTCTGGCCCGTGAGCCCCGGTGCAGTTGCACCGCCTGTACACTCGATAGCTTCGCCACTGGGGAGTTGAATGGGGTGGGGGGCAAATTACATCCCAACCAGTCGGGATAAGTGTAAAAATGTATCTGTGACTAATGCGCATACCGTCATGTGGACATACAATAGCACATCATCATCCATGCGTCATCACCACCATCATACCTACTATAATCACCCAGGGATGTCTGTCCTAACGCTCGTGACGTCACTCAAATCGACCAGCCCCCCCCCCCCCCTTAATTAATATTCATGAGCAGGTGACGTCCTCCAAATGGACACCCCCCCCCCCACCCCTCCTCATTAATAATCATGAGCAGTTGACGTCACTCCACATGGGGGGCCGAGGCGCCTCCTCCCCCCTCCTCGGCGTCAACTGACAACCCTCCTCACTACAAAGGCAGAACCCTCACGTCACGTGATCTCCGTAACGATATTGAGACATCAAAGTAAAAAGGACGTCGTGATGAACAAGGGATTATAACCTTTACATGCAATAAGTCTGTGTCACCGCGCCCTTACTAATTGCACACGAATTGATGCAATGAATATATCACGCCGTCTGCTTTTCGCTCGCAAGTTTCAGATTTACTGCAATACGCCCGTCCTTGGACGGGCAAAAGGCTCGTTTTATGAATATTCGTCATCATCATCATCAATGCACAACATCATGCATGCTCCATTATCACGATGCTCGTCATGAATTCACAAGTCATTATCCAGGCATCAAGTCCTGTGCGTTAATAATCGCCTGCATCATTAATGCATAATATTAATCACCCATGCACAATCATCGTTATGTAAAGGTTACTCATGCAAAACGAGAGAAAATGAGCCCCGGTGGATTTTCACCCAATTAAATAAGGACTTTGCAGTGGTGTTAAGGTTCATGACCTTTAGTATAAAAATCCAAAGGTCAGACGTTATCATTTTGGGGCAAGAGTATGAGCCCTCTTATAAAATCGTAACTTAATCAAAATTAAATATTGGTGGAAAATCGTGAAGACCAAGTTGCTTTTACAATACAAAAGGCATGGGGTCCACAATGCCCCATGGTATTCTAAAGCCATATTGCCAGCAATCAGCCTTGCATGGCACAAATATAATGTACAGCTGTGATAAAGGAAATGACTTGCTCATGCCACTTACGGCAGACGGGCCTCCACTAGAGCGAGCTCTAAAGAGCCCCTTCAAGAAAGTATATAACCGTGGCCGAACATCTTGGAATAAGTGGACGTACCTACTCTTTACCCCACCACGCGCCACCTGCTGATTGACTGTGGTGTATCCCGACCACGAAGGTGGCAGGAATTAAACAAACTCGCTGATGATTTGAAGCGGCGCGCCAGGCGGTAGACTCGAACCGGCGGCATCTGGGTTGCAAGTCCAGTGTGTTAACCATTTCACGACGGCAGTGTCGGATGACGAACGAGCGATATTTGTGAATTGTTGGCGCCCTCCAATTTTCTTTGTGGGCCTTGCGGCTTTTGTGTCCAAGGTGTTAGGTTGAGTCATACAAAGCTTGTTCGGAATTCATGAATACATTAATGCCTCCACCCACCTAAACACAAAGCTAAGAGACAGACTCAGCTCTTATGTACACACATGCCTTACTTGATTTTTTTTTGCGCAATAAAAACATGCAGACGCGGAATAAGAAAAAAAAACACGTTATTTTGTTTCAACAGATGCAGAGCATATCAATGCATTCATTTAAACTAACAAAAAATCGTTAACTTTTCTGTACACATATAAAATTAGATAAAAACGTATGAACCTTGCAATTACAGCAAACGTGAGTTTTTTTTCGACGGACCAAAGTAAAAAAAAAAGCGAAGCTGTTCACGTGGTCGTGTGGGGTGGTGCTCATCTCTTGGCAGGCCCAAGCTAGTGTTGGAAATTCCACATTCATATGTCGTGGCGTAACGAAAGCAATAAACACAGCCAACACAGCCTCCACAGCCCAATTCACCCTGAATGTGGGCAACAGAGTCAGATCTCGGATTTCAGAAGCTAATCAGGGTTAACCCTTATTCCTTGGGTCTTGCGGTAAAGTCACGTAGATGATTAAAAGAAAATAACAAAAAACGACGTTTCGACCACAACACAAGCGGATCATCATCAGGACGATCGCTTGTGTTGTGATCGAAACGTCGTAGTTTTTTTTAAATTTTCTTTGAACCATCTACGTGACTTTATCGAAAGACCCAAAGAAGATGACTTCCTGCAGTCACGAAAGCTTTAAGCCAAGGGTTAACCCTTGTTAGTACTTCGAAGGTAGACTCGGGGAATACCAGGTGTTGTAGGCTTGAGCCAGGAGGTAGCAATCAGATGGTTAGTACAACAATGGTTTCTTTAACCTGGCAGAGTGTTATCCCCTCATACGTTTGGGGTTTTTCCCAGTTACTCCAGTTTCCTCCCACAAGGAATCATGTTGTAACACGCACAGTTTGTATTCGTAGTGTATGTTGAACTTCTTTCGCACCGTACGTAGTCAACCGTGCTAATCGGAGGTACGGAGAAGGACAACATTCACTCAAAGAGAGAGATAATTATTCAGAGGTGCTCAAAACCACGGACAAGTGAGAAGGCAGCATGAACCGGAGGAGCTAACAATTGCCCAAGCTCTGTGATACTATGCTGGGATATTGGGCCTACTCCATGATTTGTGTTTTATACATATGAATAAAAAGGGGGGGGGGAGGGGTAACACTCAATTCCCATACTGATGGAATACAGATGGAAGTTAATCCACTTGCTGTGCTGCCACACACTGGCGAGTCAATATATTGTGACCTTGAGACCCATTCACCAACCCTTATCGCCACAGGGCTGGATTACAGGCGTGCAAAGCCACCAACGCCAAGCATAAATCAAACACTCATTAATGCAAACATTTCATTGCATGACGCTTCTGAAAGGAGGGAGTATTTTGGTTCAATGATGGGTTACACCAATTAAATACATTTTCTCCATTGCCCCATCTCACCAGTTGGTAGAATTTTTCACATCATCTAAGCACCCCTTTTGTTTTTAGGATCCCATACAGAACCTCTATTACCCAACACACCACACTTGCCCTTTGATACAGTCATGGGGGTCATCCGATGCAGAATTATTGCCATCCCATACAGAACCCTTATAATAATCCGATATAAAACCCTGAATGTGCCCAAATAAAGATCACTTAAATGAATTCATCCAAATTCACATCTCATGTGATACAAAACCATTGCTACATTCATTCGGTACACAACTGACCATATTAACTGTCTAACCATTATCTCATTGAATATAGAATTCTTGGATGAATTAGAACCCTTGATGCAACAATGACAGAACCTGACAAATCTAATATACAATCTTATTCTTATCCGATACAGATACCCTGACACTCAATATAGAATCCTTGTCCTATTACGACAATTCAAGTTTGACCGTTCAGTTTTGGCTCATCCCACTCAGACAGAGCCCTCCTTTGATACCTCAACAATTGAGTTCCCGAAGCAGATTGCAGGAACTGAATTGTGGCGAAATGTCAGACAATGCTAACCAATACCCCGGTACAACAAGAAAACACATCGGAGAACCTCAACACATTTTTCAAAAAACTCATTTTGTGATAATTGCCTTTTAAAAAATGTATACGCCACCAATTGTCATTCATCAATCGCAATGGGCTGGGGGTAAACGCTTAACAAATTCACAATTAGTTGTAACGTATATTACCGGAGCTCAAACGCACATGGCATTGCCGACGGAGTTCCTCTCCAAAGGTAATTGTGTCAGATTACGGATTTTAAAAGAAGTATAGCTTTTGGTAAGCTGAAGAACACCAAACTATACAAAAATAAGACGTCTGTTTGAACGTTTTGGAGATAAAGCACCAACTGGCTGAAGAACGATTACACGTTAAACAAACTTCCAAGGACAGCACCATGCTCCGAGCGGGCGGTGTGTTTGCTTGTTAAACAAGACTTTTGGCCCTGCCAGTTCTGCATTGTTGCACGTTGGGAAGGCGCCACGGTTTTGATGAAATGGATGCCCGCTGTTATGCGACAGCTGAATTCGCATTCCTGCCTTTATGGGATAACTCTATCAATGTATGTGAAATGCAGCAGTTTGTAAAACGCAGTGTGCGCAGCTTCAAGGCTTCTCAAGTCGAGGAGTCTCCCAGCAGCAATGAGTGTGGGGTGGCACTCGTATTTTGTTAATGGCCCCGGTGGCAATGTTATCTCTCTCGCCAGATATGCACGAGGTCGTGGGTTCGATTCGGACCCCGACGCCTGTATATTCAGAGTTTGAATGTATTTCTCCGGGTCCTCCGGGTCCTCCGGTTTTTCCTTCCACATTTAGAAACATGCGTTTAGAACGAACGTTCAGAGTATTTTGGCTGCTTTAAATTTCCACATGATAAGCCACTTTGCTGAGATATAATTTGTGGCCAGGTCGTTTCTGAAAAAGAGCTATATACCTGTGGGCCTTACCTGGTAAAATAAAAAAAAAACAATTAAAAAAACCCACAAAAAACTCCAACATTCCTATGGCAGTTGCCAGAACGTCTATAGGACAACTACAGTCTGCTTCCCACAAAGTGGAACATTCATTTGATCAAATTATGGACTGAGCTGACCGTGACCTTGCTTTTAACGTAAACATGTCTAAATGCTGGTCGAAAACTCTGACCTCAGCGCCACACAGATGGCTTCAACAGTCATGTATTCGGACAGAAACAAGCTATTATTGACAAACCTATGATCTCAAAATATGCAGACCGACCTTTCCAAGGTTATAGGATGATACAGTTTTAGCTGTTCACAGCCGCCAATCATAAAGGAATTCTTTAAAAATGTTTGTACAAAAGCGGATGGCCTTTGCTAACGTCATAGATTAAAACGAAGAACTTTGCTCCCCATAGTATCACAAATGTAGTTGCATTGTTTTTCAGCGAAATAATGTGCTGTAAAATGTCATGATTGTCATATTAAAACATAAACAGTTGTCTCCGCATGTTTAGTAGGATTAAACAATTGTCTGCATGCACAGAATGATTAATTTTCCCCGAAGTTAGACATTTGTCTCTGGGACAGTCATTGGTCCAGTTCACCACAGTGTGGATCGGCTGTCATTCACACGGTAGGGCACACTGAGATTCAGAGCCTCGGAGAGATAGGGAACTTGGCAGTCCTTGCAAATCCAGGCTTCACACAGCAATCCCCAAAACTTCAGACCCCCCCCCCCCCCCCAGTGTCTATGAAGCAAAGTCATCACCATCAGCTTCGTTACCACCACCACCACCGTCACCATCTTCCATCACCTCCACTGAACATAGGATTCAACCATACCCTGCATCAAAACACAGCAAAGACAAAGAACACAATTACGACGAGTGCTGTAGCATCGGTTGCTGTGGTGTATAGGTGAGCATGCTGGACTCGTAATCCAGAGGTTCCGGCAGGACAGCCGACACAATGGTGCAAGATTCTTAAATCTCCCTGGCTCTATCCGTCCAGCAGCGTAAATAGTTTACGGGCAGGTCCGTGTGTGGTGGGGTGGATGAGAAGGCCACAACACCGTCTGGTGCTTTCACCAGCAGTAGTGTGAATGAGAAAGTGCAGGCTGCACCATGTTTAGACTTTGTGACCACCTGTTGAGTTGGGGAAATTTACCTGTTATGGCCAGCATCATGCAGTCACACTTTTCATGATTTTGAGCAAAGTAATTTATTACTGTTCCATGGAGTGGTGGTGCAGTGATTATAATGCACTGCACGATAAACGTTGTTGTGGACATCATAAATAACAAAATAGATAGGTAGACAATGTCTATCGTATATATATATATTTTTGTCCAGATAAAATATAAAAGTATTTTTTTACGCGAATAGTAGTCCCACGTTTTTTTGGGAGTGCATCATTCCAGCAGAATGTATTAAAAACAATGAAACTGGCCCAGTGTCTCATCAGCAGTCACGCTTTGCTTTAATTAATTCTGGTGAGCTGCCAGATGTTATAGACAATGTCACTCTCTTCAAGACATGGGTCTAATTTGAGGTAAAATGATGTTACACCAAATATATGATTTTTATGATATTGTGCTATGTTATGTAATTTTGTGTCAAACTGGGACCCACATATTAAAGAGAGTGACCATGCCTCTAACTACATCTGGTATTTTCATCACCATTGATTCAAGCGAGCCCGACGCTGCTGCTGAGACACAGTATGTCGTGACCGATCCAGAGTTTGCAAGGTTTGAATGCGGCCGAAATTCACATGAATGTAGACAGACCATATGAAGTAGACGTTTTGTCTGCTTATGCATTGTATAAAGTGTGAGTTCCAATTGCTGGCCACCACTAACATCAGTGGACAATGACTTGACCCGATGCAACCTCCACTTCCCCACCACCACACATACCCAACACTTTCACCAACCAAAATGACAGCATGGTCAAGTATGGTCACACAACTCCCATGCCTGGCAAGGTCTTGAGTCTGCGGCGAATTGATAAAGGGCTCTGAAATATTATCTCTATTATTGTGTTGTTGTCCATATTGCATTTTCTAAGAGAATATTCACGTAAGCTTTAGCATGATTTGCTGTTGGGATTCGTGATCTTTACCCGCATCTAGTTAATGTATGGCAGATATGGCACACGAGGGGGTGGTGTAGGCACTGAGATGCACACCAGGCCACCTTAGTCTCCCCCATTGCCAACGTGAAACATCTGGCACCAGGTGCTCATTTTAGTTTGAGTCACACTAATGGAGGCTCAGGGCAAGCACAGAGAGGGGGGGGGGGACGACCTCACTGGTTTCGCAATAGATTGTGGCCAGGAAATGAACCCACTTCCTGGGGATTGTGGGTTATTGTCCTGATGCATGCGAATCTTAAAAATGTACAAACCCATTAAAACATTCATATTTACAAACACATGGAAAACCCAACATACATATAAACCTATGCACAAATACCAATAAAAACAAAGATCCCCCGGAAAACTTTTTTACCAGACGACTGGGGTAAGTTATGTTCAAGAACACCTTTTATAAGGTCAGCACAGTATATGAGGGGGTGGATGGCCAGCACCACGCCCAGACGCCTTTGTCTCCCTCGTGGCAATGTATACACATCGCACAGGGCATCTTTTGAGGCTCAGGTCCAGTTCAGATAATCGTCACCGATTTTGGCTGAGAGAAAAAAACTGAACTCGGGTTGCCAGGTTCATAGCAGAGCATGCTCACCACTGAGTCGTCGCTTCCCACACATAAGAAAAACCCCCACATCTCTCACACACACACACACACAACCCACACGAACCACACACGCAGACATAAAAAACCCACAAAACACGTATGCTGATAAGAACACAACTGCAGTACAGTAATTCACAAAAACAGGATACTTCTTTTTCATCCTGTGTGGTTAGGCGCATTTGCGCCTATTCACTTTCCCCAGCATTTTATGGGCCGCCACATTTCGGCGTAGCGATTCCACTCACGAATTCATTCTTTACCGTCCGATTCTTTTACCATCTCATTTGTATTGCTTCTCAACTTCTTCTTTCTCTGTTCACTCCATTTAGCCCTGAACGTAAGCTTCGCGTGTAATTCCCACGTAATGAAAATTCTAACTATGCATGATTCGCTGCATGAAACGTAAGAATCCGTTTTAATAATTGAATCGATGCATCATCGCATGCCTACTGTGTAGGTACCATGTAGATTGCTCTACTGCACGCACTACAGATGTGTTTCCAATCTTTGGATTCATCTGAAATATCCAAAAAGCAGGCATTAGATCAAATAAATTCAAATAATCAGGAAACATTTTGGTTTCAGATGGATCTGAAAATGTCACAGGAAGTGCCGTTTTTTTTTCAGTGGCATCACGACAACACTTTTCATGTCAAAATTGCCATCAGTGTTGCTTGAAACTGTTTAAATAAAAAAAAAATCCAGTATACACAATTATTGTTTCACTAACGGAATTTTAAGCATAATCAGTTTTCAATGCTAAATACTGTATTCAACACTAAAGTCCGAAATTTTGCATACAAATCAAATATTCGATCCTAAGCTCATCTCTAGCACGTACAGAGTTGGCTTAACATCTGTGTGCGGAGGCGGTGTGCTTTACAACAGCACTTGTCGCACCCCTGCAGGTACCATCCTGAGATGTAGCCAAACGTGGACCTTAAACTGGTGTAAAGTCTACTCCCCTCTGGCTAGTCCGAACTACGCGATAAGATAGCAGTGTCTCATTTAGAAACAGAACCCATTCAATGGGATACTTCATTCCACCAACTAATTTTCCCACATAGCAATAATGTTGTTGTTATAGAGCCATAAGTTTATAAATATCGCGGTCAATTTTGCCACGGCCTGTCGAATGCCGTAAAGCAAGCCGGCTGATAATTTGACTGCACGTGCATTTAAATTTTATTAATTTTTTGGTGCGTTTGTTCTCAGGGAAACTGTGTAATCTCACACGGAAAAGAATTGTTCCAAAAAATGTAAGAGAACTGCCAAAACATGGCAATTCAGGACCCTCTTGCAGTAGACCCATGAGATTTGGGCAATGGCGGAGCCAGGATTTTCAGGTAGCGGGGCAACCCCTCCAGCAATGCAAAATTACAGGAGTTGTTAGTAAGTAAGGAGTTGTTAGCAAGTAAGGACTTGTCCCTTGCTTTTATTCGACGCGTGTGCGGCGATGGTGCAGCCATCGATCGAGGGTCGAATTAGAACCGCGTTGTGTGATCGGCATCACGCTCGCTGAAGGTGCTGATGCCTTCAGGGAAGTCGTGTACTGCATACGCAACTGCGCACAATTCTGCGAGTCACTTATAACTGCTTTACGTTACTTATTGCCAATTATGGACCCAGACAATTGTCCTATCATCTCAGAGTCCCTGGCACGTAATAATATGCTTCACAGTGGCAGTGGGGGTCGCAAAATGCCGATTTATTACTAATAAACCCCAATGACCCGATCGGAATAGGGATTTCGATCGGATCATTAGGGGGGCACGTGATACCCCATCCCCTCCACTGGCTCTACCAGTGGATTTGGGTAAGACTTTCCTGGATGAATAAAGGGGCGTTTATTTTTAATACCCCTGGGTGACATAACACTTTACAGGACATTCACGAAACCCTTATCCGAAATCCACCACGCCTCTGATGCTCACCACTCACAAATCATTAAATCACTTGACCCTCACCACTCACCAGTATAAAATAGTGGGGAGCCTGTTGAGATTCCATGATTCCCACCCCCACCCCCCAACTGCATAAACCCCCATCCCCGAACCACGCAGGATTTTGAAAAGGGTTCTGACACATGCTGGGCCTAATGAGCAGCACCTGGGACAATAAGCCGAATTATCACGTCAAAGGTTAATTTAGACCTCGTTCGCATTAATTACGTACCATACTCTCTCAAATGACACCTGATTAAGTGAACTTGGTGAAGCCCAATGACAGTGATTAGGTACGTACGATCTTTAATGACTTTTAACCCACATAAAACCAATTGTAGCAGAATTGGTTCACAACGGCAGTATTCATATTCTTGGTTCTTTCGGTAAAGTCACGTAGAAGAGAAACAATAAAATAATATTGTTTAGTATTTTTATTATTTTATTGTTTCCCTGCAGTCACGAAAGCTTTAAATCAAAATTTAACGGCAGTATTGTTGAGTTTTTAGAAAGTCTGTAACACTATTCCCATTATATTCTTGGCTCTTTCGGTAAAGTCACGTGTTGCAGTCGAAACGTCGTGATAATTTTATTGTTTTATATTTTTATTATTTTATTGTTTCCCTTCTACGTGACTTTACAGAAAGAACCAAGAATATGAATACCTGCAGTCACGAAAGCTTTAAATCACTATTCCCATTATTCCATTTAGTTTTACTTTACAGTTGGGATTAGTTTAATAAAAGGACGGAAAAAAATCCCATAAAATCACGAGTCACCTCATTCCGCCAATATATTTCCCTCCCCGTAACAAGAATGGAGCTATATGACCATACGCCTATATCGAGCCGACAGGGTGACATGTGCAATTTCACAGGCGTTTTGCTAGTCCCACAGTAATGACGGTGCAGCACTCACTCATCACAACGTAGATATGTCCACAAAGGTGCTCGGTGCTCCTGAGCCCCTGGGAGTGATGGGGCGAATTTGAAAACTGACTCCTCTCTTCTTGGAGCTTGGCGCGATCATGGGCTTCATCTCCATGGACGAGGCTGCTCCAGCAGGTGATGCTGCAGCTGCTGATGGCGACGACACTGCTGACGCTGCCCCCGGTACTGCAGAGTATTTTAACAATCGGGCACTCTGAGTGCCACGAGTGCCACGAGTGCGAGCCTGCGGAGGATTTTGCCGGCCGGCCATCGACGACGGCAACGTCGAGGCTCCGCGAGCCCTTTCCGCCGCTCCCCTCCGGCTGCCGAATCGGTTCGACAGCCGCCGCGACACGGTTCGCGCGAGCCGCTCAAAGCCGCCGGGCTTTCGATCGTCCTCGAACTCCGAGAGGGGCACCTCGATGTTGCCCGTGTACCAGAAGATCCACCAGACGAGGCTCAGGAAGACCAGGATGGCGCCACAGTAGATGAGCAGGTCGAAGTAGATCACATCCCCGAAGAGGCCCCACGTGAGCAGCGCCACGCCGGCCACGTCGAAGCTGATGGCGAGCACGAAGGCGTAAGCACAGCGGCCGATGCCTCGCTTGGGCACCGCCATATGCCAGGCTGTGGGCACAGGGTAACGAGACACGCAGCTGGGTCGGGGAGCGAGCGAGCGCGAATGGGTAGGTGTGCGCGTGGGAGGGTGAAAGTGGGTGTGTGTGGATGGGTGGGAAGTGATCGTAAACGGTCAGTGCACTGCACTACGAAACCGGCGACCCGAGTTCAATTCCCGCTCAAGGCCAATATTTATGACAAATATCTGAACCAGTTATGGCCATCCCTTAGCTCAGGGGCGGGGAAACCTTTTTTTCTGCCAAGGGCCATTTGGATATTTATAGCGTCATCATTCGCGGGCCATAGAAAATTATCAACTTAAAAATTGATCTGTTATATTTGGTCAAACATTGAATTAACTCGCCCCTAATGTGATGGGCTGGAACTGCTTCTCTTTGGTGAGGCGCGTGGTGATGTTAGCCGGTATTGACGATGTTGCTACTCGCAACTGCTTTTCCAGGTTTGCTCTACCTAGATTTATTGGATTTCGAGTCCCGCCCGCGGTTGCCTTGGCAGGGCCACACCAAATGATTTCGCGGGCCTCATACGGCCCGCGGGCCGGACGTTCCCCACCCCTGCCTTAGCTCGACTGTATGGTGTGTAAGCATCAGCACTGGGGAGACAAAGGTGGCCAGGCGTGTTGTTGGACTTCCATCCCTTTGTGTGTTGTGCAGCACCTTAATAGGTGCTCGCTAACGGCCCTTTGTGTCTGAGAGTTGGAAGAGAGTTGCGTGGGGGTATGCAGGTGGTTGGGTATGTGCGTATCGGTAATAGGGAGTGCGTTGGCAGGTGTGTTGGTTAACATGGAGGTGTGTTTAGCGATGAGAGTTGACAGTACTGTGTGCATGCATTGTGCACACCACACCATTCTGTTTCACCGTTTTGGTCTTAAAATAGGGGCTCACTAACAGTCATTTTCCCAGCAGACTTAAAAGCTAAACGGAGCGACCTTTGTGACCAGTCCGTGTGCGCGTGTGTTGTCATCGTCAGCTATGCTCAATCTACTGCTGGATGAGATGTCATTCCCAAGCTGCCGTCGGTGTCCGTCACCCTCCAGCCAGTGGCACGTCTCACCCCAGCCCCCTTTGTTTCCCTCAGCAGTCAACATACTCTCTTTAACCTGTCGATGTTTCATAATCAACGCGTCCCTCTTTCTGCCTCTCAGTGTCATCCCCCACCGTGCTTGCTTGCACACGTTTTAAGACTTTGCTACATTATTCTACATCACTGTACTCCAAGCTTCTGTCATCTGTGCCATGGCAGGTAATACCGTACGAATTTATAAACACGCTCTCACAAACCGAGGCCGACATGTAAAAAAAACACCATTGCATAAATATTTATAAACAAGGACTTGTTTTTCGTAAAAATGGAAGTTATATGAATAAACGTAATCATATGACAAGGGGTCAGGCAAGGCGACTCTTTCGATAAAGTTACTCAAAGCCATAATTCTAAGATGTTTAAAAAACATAATTATAATTGGAGAAATACTTATTAACCACTTCAGATTTTCCGACAACAATGTTATTATGAAGTCCAACGGGGAATAAACCGCAGGAAATGCTTGAAGTTGATAAGAGAAAGCTGAAAAGTTGGACTCAAGGGGTAGATGTAAGAAAAACTAAAATCACGTTCGTGCAGCTCAGCTAAACAAGGAGAGACACAACAGGTAACAACAGATCAACCTATCACAGGGAATAAACATTTCGCAGAATATGTTTACCTGGGGTGGTTATTAGCGGCAGACCAACACCAAAAGGATTAAATATTACTGGAGGATGCGACTCGATTAGGGCGGGCGGGCGGGGGGGTTAGAAATCTGAACTTGACAATAGTAAACAACATTAATTCTTTAAATCTTGATTACCGAAAGAACCAAAGAGTATTAATGATATGGTATGATAAAGTTTAGATTTTTAAACTGCTTCTTGTTTTTCCAACAACCGTATTTAACGACAACACAGTACTGCTGGGCGTACAGCGTGTTTAAATCGGTACAGCGGTATATGTGAAAGGGGTACGTGTCTTACCCATGTAGTACACGTATGGGAAAGTGCGTCTTGTCGGTATATTTGTATACAAAGGTGCGTTTGAATATATATAAATACAGTTAAGTTTACTTTAGTTCATTCCGTTTAACCAGGTAAGAAACTCAAGAGCACGTACAACAGGTATGAGTGCACGTGCAGAGGCAAGAATTTGCATGTAGGTATCGATCAGTCGATGTATTATGCAGGTATGTCCAAGTAGGTTAGTGACTGTATGCATATATGTGGCTTTGTTCTTAAATACATTAAAGAATGTGTGATTACACTACGTGTATAAATCACCATCACCGTCATCAATAAGTACTGCATCGGCATACATGATTGCGTGCATCTACATAGGCGTGTATATGCATGTGTGTTGCACACACCTGAGCAAGTACAGTTGAAAGGTGGCAGGCAACAGTCGACAATCAATCCCCCCAAACTCGAAACACACACGTGGCACCAACTCACTAACTCACCTACCCACTGCAAGTAACGCAACACAGGTAAACTATCCAACCACTCCTCTGTATGGATAACATTCCATCAACTTGTTCTAGGGCAGTGTAGTAGACGTTATCTATGTAGCACAAGTACTGTACCGCGCCCCACACGGCTCGGTTGTAATAAGCTATGGCACCGGAGTTAACGATTGTGTAACTTCGCGCTGAGCTGAGACGCAAACTAGGCGTGGTGCTGACACCTGTCCCAACCTGCACAGGTAAAAGGAGGGGCGTGGTCAGGGCGACGAAACCACGCCCAGCTAATTCACATTAGCCAATGGAGCAGGGGAGAGTACCCACCCACTTATCTGGGCGAGTCCAAGTTGTTTGGCGGTTGTGGGGGGGGGGGTGTATGGACTGGGCCAAGTTTCAAATATTCGTGCCTCTCCGGTAACGGGGAATGTCCGGCTTTCTTCAAATAATTAAACAATACTCAATAAAGTTACATTAGCTTTAACATTACAGTATACAATTGTTGACAATAAACAATTTTGTATTGCACTTTAATAGCTGAAACCATATACTGTAAGGGGCCGTCCATAAATGACGTCACGCGATTTTGGACAATTTTGACCCCCCCCCACCTCGTCACACGGTGTCACAAAAAGTCAGACCCCCCCTCAAATATGACGTCACAAAGCTCTGCCCCCCCAAACCATATTTCCATTTTGAAAATAAAAACATGCTTCAAATCGCTTTAAACTATTGTCATTGTAGGGCGTATTTAACGTGGCGCTGCACTCTGATGTTGTAGGAGTGTTATTATAACAATTAGTGTTGTTATGCCAATTCTATATTTATTTAAAGTTGCGCATTTTGGTGTGACGTCACATTTCTCAAACCCCGCCCGCCCATTCGTCACACATCGTCACAAATGTCTGACCCCTCCCCCCCTAGGTGCGTGACGTCATTTATGGGCGGCCCCTATGTTGCACTCACCACTGTTATTATACTTTACAGAAAACAACACTCACCGTTCACATAATCCTCACCGAAAATGCACGGCAGTAAGTCCTCTATTAACGTTGGGGATGCGTCCCTGGAAAACACGACGGTGATGCGAAATCAACGGATTTGGAATGTACAGAGAGGCTCGTAACTCGCGCATACCACACACCACTCACAGTGGCTAACACGCGGCACTCAACTCTCCAGACACCCCACGTGATCCGTAATATAGTTATTTTGTTGGGTTAGATCGCGTAAATAGACATGTTGTATCGTTAAACCCGCCACCACCCGACACAGCCAACTAGTAACTAGTGCAGCGACACCGGTGTGTTGGAGAGAGCAAATTGACATCTGAGTACGACGTTTCGCCAATAATCACAACTAGCTTCATCAGGCGACAGCCAGATTTGTGGAGAAATCTTCGTGTTGCGTTCCTTAGAGGGATATATGCGATGACATCACTTGTGAACCCTTCACGTGCGAATTGGGGTGGGACTAATGAATGCATATCAATTATAATGACTTTCCACTACCGGTTGGGTTATTCATATGGAAACATTATGTAACATGATGTTTGTTCCTGGGTAGTAAGTTTTATTTTCTAATTGCTTATGCCTCAAAAGTATATAAGATGGCTATTATATACGCACAAACTTTGCTTTTGAGGCCAGGATTTTAGGTGAAGGAATGACACAAATGCACACCACGTGTTAGTTAGTGGAGAATAATAGCCATTTTACGTACTTTTGAGGCATAAGCAATTCTAAAATAACACTTACTACCCAGGAACCAATACAAGTTTTTGTTACACAGTAATTATATAATCAGCTACGTGTGAAGCCTACGTGTTACCAAACACGATACACACACAGCTCATACTTACGAGGGACTAAACACACTCACCACACACTATATATACACACACACTCACAATCACCACACACTATATACACAGACACTCACAATCACCACATACTATATACACACACTCACAATCACCACACACTATATACACACACACTCACAATCACCACACACTATATACACACACTCACAATCATCACATACTATATACACACACACTCACAATCACCACACACTATATATACACACACTCACAATCACCACACACTACATACACACACTCACCACACACTATATACACACCCACAATCACCGCACACTATATACACACACCACACACTAGATACACACTCACAATCACCACACACTATATATACACACTCACCACACTATATATACACACACTCACAATCACCACACACTATATACACACACTCACAATCACCACATACTATATATACACACACTCAGAATCACCACACACTATATACACACACTCACCACACACTATATATACACTCACACTCACCACACACTATATACACTCACAATCACCACACACTATATACACGCACTCACACTCACCACACACTATACACACTCACAATTACCACACACTATACACACACTCACAATCACCACACACTATATACACACACTCACAATCACCACACACTATATACACACTCACAATCACCACACACTATATACACACACTCACAATCACCACACACTATATACACACACTCACAATCACCACACACTATACACACTCACAATCACCATACACTATGCACACACTCACAATCACCACACACTATATACACAGACTCACAATCACTAGACACTATATATACACACTCACAATCACCACACACTATATACACACACTCACCACACACTATACACACACTCACAATCACCACACACTATACACACACACTCACAATCACCACACACTACACACACTCACAATCACCACACACTATACACACTCACAATCACCATACACTATACACAGACTCACAATCATCACACACTCACAATCACCACACACTATATACACACACTCACACTCACCACACACTATACACACACTCACCACACACTATATACACACACTCACAATCACCACACACTATATATACACACTCACACTCACCACACATTATGTACACACACTCACAATCACCACACACTATATATATACACACTCACAATCATCACACACTATATACACACTCACAATCACCACACACTATATACACACACTCACCACACACTATATACACAGACTCACACTCACCACACACTATATATACACACACGCACAATCACCACACACTATATACACACACTCACAATCACCACACACTATATATATACACACTCACAATCATCACACACTATATACACACTCACAATCACCACACACTATATACACACACTCACCACACACTATATACACAGACTCACACTCACCACACACTATATACTCACACTCACCACACACTATGTACACACATTCACACTCACCACACACTATATACACACACTCACAATCACCACACACTATATATACACACTCACACTCACCACACACTATATACACACTCACAATCACACTATATACACACACTCACCACACACTAAATACACACACTCACAATCACCACAAACTATATACACACACTCACCACACACTATATACACACACAATCACCACACACTCACAATCACCACACACTATACACACTCACAATCACCACACACTATATACACACACTCACAATCACCACACACTATATACACACACAATCACCACACACTATATACACACACTCACAATCACCACACACTATACACACACTCACAATCACCACACACTATATACACACTCACCACACACTATATACACAGACTCACACTCACCACACACTATATACTCACACTCACCACACACTATGTACACACATTCACACTCACCACACACTATATACACACACTCACAATCACCACACACTATATATACACACTCACACTCACCACACACTACATACACACTCACACTCACCACACACTATATATACACACACTCACCACACACTATATACACACACTCACCACACACTAAATACACACAATCACCACACACTATATACACACACTCACCACACACTATATATACACACACAATCACCACACACTATACACACACTCACAATCACCACACACTATATACACACACTCACAATCACCACACACTATATACACACACTCACAATCACCACACACTATATACACACACTCACCACACACTATATACACACAATCACCACACACTATACACACTCACAATCACCACACACTATACACACACTCACAATCACCACACACTATATACACACACTCACACTCACCACACACTATATACACACAATCACCACACACTATATACACACACTCACACTCACCACACACTATACACAGACTCACAATCACCACACAATATATACACTCACAATCACCACACACTATATATTACACACTCACAATCACCACACACTATACACACACTCACAATCACCACACACTATATATTACACACTCACAATCACCACACACTCACCATTCATTACACCCATCACGATACACTTCAAAACTCACACTATACACCACTCGCCATCATCAGCAATGCCTACGTAAGATCGAGGCGTGTTCCTTCGTGATTCGAGCGAGGCTTGGCATGTTTCCCGACGACAAGTCCTGTATCTGTGCGGTATTCTAGGTTTGATGTATTTATGGCCACAACACCAATAGTCAATTCATACCAGCGACATCACTGGGCCTGGCCCGCCCCTTCTGCGTTCACTCGGCACAAGCAATACAATAAAAGTTCCTGACAAATGTAGCAATGCTGCTCATTTGAACGCCACATCGTGGCCGTATGAATAGCTGCTGGCTGACACAAGCACATCACTCGGGGCGTGAAACGGATGGCAGTCACCCGTGACCTCCCAATTCCACGCAACTTGACCCCACCCCACGGGAACTGCCACGATCGATCGTGGTTGCAGCCGTGTATACTGATGGATTTGGCAGAGATGATGGCGGGATTTAAGAAACTTAGCCCAGACTGTATTTTTTAAAATGTATATTAAACATTTCAAGCGCCACGCAGGGAAATCGAAATGGTAACCTCGGGATCACTTCCAAGTCCAGCGTGAGCCAACCATTAGCACAGCACACGATATGCAATGTAACGTTGTCATAAAAAAATAATACACCGTATTCATCCGTCCACCATAGGGGCCCTGTTCAAATAATAACACGAAGGCACGGATACGCCCAGATGTTACAAAGTTGACGTTCCATAAAAAGAAAACGAACCGATCTCTCAATCTTGAAAGCAACTGGCGGCGTGAGAATTGCGTGCAGTGAATAAAAACGTTACACGGTACCTTCAACATGTCCTCGTCCGGTGTTCGTCGACGGTTCTTATGGACCGGCTCGTCTTTTGCCAAGACGTCTCGGATTTACGGTCATGTTTGACGTTGCTCGTGTCGGGTGGCCGCCTTCTTTCACTCTCTCCGGCCCGTTTTCAACTCCCCCAAGCCCGACAAAGCAACCCCCCCTCCCCCGCCCGCCCACCCGCTCCTTATCGGAGAGTTGCGCATTTCCCACCGTTTCGCAAGAAAACGCAAGTTCCGCTCTCCGTTTTTGGTTGTGAACATCACGCGAAATGACCTAACGAAAACTGAAGAAAAAAAATAACAAACACAAAAAAACCGGGAGCAGCCGAGTCGGTGGCGAAGCGCCGCACGTGTGGATCCACGGCTCGAGTCAAAGTGGCAGGAGGTGCGGGGAGGGCATCACTACGCAAGTGGCTGGTTGGCACGTGGGGTCGGTTCACGAGCGAATGCTGCTGCTGCTGCTGAACCACATGTTGGTTGGCTCGTCGATTCGTCTAATTGTACGGGCGACGGACTTACTGGTTGGCTCGTCTAGGGGTAGGGATACGTTTTATGGGGTAGGGAACGCTTTAGGTCGGGTTATGGTTAGTTATGGTTACGGTCAGTGGGGAGGGCTAAATACAGTACTAGTTGATTAGCAGCTCCGATGAGCAGGGTTGGCAACGTGAAGTGTGGACTAAGTTCCAGTTCTATACATACATTAGGAATGGGGGGGGGGGGGGTAGCGTTTGTCTGGCAGGATGTGCTCTGGCCAAACTGCGTGCATCGGAAAGTCTGACCAATTCCTTTTTAAGGGCAATTTTGTGCGTGCGAGAAAACCAACTCATGAGCTCATCACATTTCAAGGACTGTAGAAACGGGTGCAACGAACGAACTCTCTTTCCTGCAACTTCATAAACCCAGTGGCTTTGGAAGTTCTTCAAGTGAATCATTTGGCGGGATCCCGGGGTCCCGTAAAAATCAGGTCAAATAATTATTATTTTTCTTCAGTCCGCCCCACTACGTGATCCCGACAGCAACGCGCCGCCCGCCCAGACTCGCCGCGCCAACAAGCGCCAGCAGCAGCAGCAGGCGGCGATCAACACGATGGGCGCCACCCCACAGGCCAAACGCGAGCCCCGGGGGGCGTCCGCCGTCGATCCTCAGCTTCTTTGCCAAGGCGAGCCCGCCCGGCCACGCGGTGAATTTAACGTGTTTATGTAATTTTTCAACTTTTTACGAAACTTAGTGCCCCGAGTAGCTCTCGACGAGGCCAATCGATTGACACTAGTTGTGTTGTTGTCGGTAAGGCAACAAGACTCGTGTCGCTACGCGGTTTTTCCCACCCCGGGGCAGTGATGGGACCCCGGGGTCCCACCAATTGCTTCAAATCTTCGTCTGAGCCACCAACCATTGCTTCCCAAAAAGTGCTAGGTCACAGGTGTGCACCACAATTGGAAATGTGAAGGTTAAAGTCCCAGAGAGGGGTTGACAATCCACCACCGTTTGGTACTTGTCGTTTTGTGAAACAGTCAACAAATCATGTCCCGAGCATAAACTTAGCCCTGGCAAAGGAATGTAGAATGTCCACCATTTCAACAAAGCAGGTTGACAAATGTAATACCAATGTGAGTTTTATTAGTTCTTGTTCGTAATGATTTACAAATCAAAAGTTTACATAAGCAATACAAAACTATGATCTTTTTCTGAAAACAGTAATATCCTCAAGGACACCTTAATGGGTCTCGAGTGTCCTGTTTTGCTGTTTTCCTCAAGGTATCGATGCATATGCAGTGGGCGGAAATCGAAACGCTCAGAAATAAACCCACGTACTCAAGAATAAAACGCTTAAGAAAATGTACAGGTTGGTAGGCCTCTAGCCTACTTGCTGTACGGCTTTATGGAAACTCGTAGTCCCGCCAGGGATCTCTGCGTGCTACACAAACCTCATCACTTCTAAAGCGTTAGATAGCTGGCATGCAACTAGCACTCCCGACAAGCGACACACGTACGGGGCATTTTACACTTTAAAAAAAAGACTAATTACACGTTGCATTTGAATTGAATGAATGCGAATATGCAGATGTTTTACTGCACAAATTGAGTTTCGCACGACTGAAAAAAAGATGCATGCTGGATGGTTAAGGGCAGGTCAATGTGATCCTCGGGGCTCTGAAGGGCTGTTCAGTTGTGCACGGCTCAACTAGTGGCATCAGCGAACACCAATGACTCCTGAGGAGTCCTGAGGATTAAACTCGTCTAGTTGCCTGTTTCACTGCTGCTTGTAGGGATTGCCACATTTTCTCAACTCCTTGAGTTGGTAGTATGAACAAAATGGCAACACATTCATTGCCTTTGAGCTAGTGGTGTGGATAAGGCCGAGGGTTGGTACATGCAAAACTGCACACTTGCTTGCTAAATCTGTTTCCAGCCTGAAGTCATTGTTCCTTTATTTTTTTCTCAATTTAAAGGATCTGAATTAAACTACACCACCGCGTTTTAATTTACCTTCACCGAAAATTGCAGGGTTTTTTTCCCCTTCTTGTTTTTTAATTGTAAGACCAAGTTTCTGGAACCACCATACATTAACATTAAAGGCTGGATATAATCTATTGACGTTCCTCGTGATTTGAAAGTGAAATTGCATTTTCACCCCTTTAAAATACATTTGGTTAACAAGGTGTCGAATTTTCAGGGTAACATTACTCAGATCCAAAACCTTAACTTCAACGCTTGGCATCTGCAAATATTAAGATGGTATATTAAACACTTGCGGTTAACACAGCAGGGATTATAAATGTAGCTCTGCCCATGTAAACATGGAATTTCCACGAATAGCTCAAGGCCCTGAAAGGCAATATCCAAATGTTGATTTGAGCAGGGAGACACTACATCTTAACTTAGAGATGAACTACATGTTAGCAGTAGATACAATAACAAAGATATGGTCAGATGGCTCAGGGGGTTCAAGCACTGAGCTTCCACAGCCAAATTCGAATCCAGGGTTCAGCAGGCTTGGGATTAAAGTAGGTTGTGAAGTTAAGCGGGTTTATGGTCCGATTGTGGTCGGCAATGACTGCATGGAAAAAAAATATTCGGATGTTTTTTTATTTGGTTAAATATGCAGTGCTCCCTCGCGTGTGGAGGAAATGTGTCACTTATGAAGGGAATTCTGACAAGGGGTAATGGACAACCAAGAGAGTTCCAAATGGATTCCATGTGTATAATTCACATGGACTTGTTTTAGTCCAAGATTCGACAAGGTAACCATTTTATATGGTTTATGGCCACAACCTTGGTGGTCGAAACCATTAGACAAAGGGTATGGTGATGCCAAATCGCATGAAAGGCATGCTGGGAGGACCGATTCGATGAACCTATGGTCACGATTGTGCATTTTGCAGTCCAGCAATTACTTTTTGCATGTACAATTTTTACTCGGATGTGTTTCTAGCCTTCACTCACTTTTCTGTCTGACGAGTTTCTAACCATTTACAGCCAAGTGCGAGAATTGGTTTACGGAGACACCCAATACCAACAACTTCGCACTGGCAGATCCGAGCCAGTCCAGCACGGGGGGCCCTTACTGTACGGGTAGTTTTCCACTGGCTATTTGCCACGTCGAGCCAGAACCAAACCACGCTATGTTGGCCTCACATGTGCATCTGGCTTAGGGCCAAGCAGGGCCAGGGGGACCGGTTAATGACACTTTTTACTACATCAGTCGATAACAACTCAAACACAGCCGTCATCTACATGAGCCTTGGTACACTTAATAAAAAACAACAACCTGGTGCCTCCTGAACCACTGCTGGCTGACTCTTGCCGACCCGGGCCGTGGCAAGGATCCACGCCCCCTAACTCCAGGGCTGCTCGCTCGGCACTATCGCCTGCGCCGGCCACCCTCCCCGCGTCGAGCCGCCCATTCCCCCACGGCCACGCAATCCTCCAGGCCGGAGCCCACGTCGCTGCCGCACTCGCTCCCCGTCTCGGATGCCGACGCGTCGCTGGCCCTCGTCCTCCTTCCCCCGCCCCGTTTCTTCTCGTTCAGGACGATGATGGCCTCGTTAGCGGCGAGAGCCGCCTTCCGGCGCGGCGTGCGAGCCGGGAGTTCCATCACGACATCGTCCTCCTCCTGTGCGGGGCCGCTACCCCCAGCATTCCGGCCCTCCTCCCTGCCGTTCCCAGACTCCACTGCCTGACCCGTGTGGGGCGCCATGCTCACGCTCTCCTCTCCCACCTTAATTTCCGTCGACGAGGAAAGAGCAGCGGGTAGCGCGGCAACGGATCGCTTTGCGGGGGTCTTGGCACGGCTGACTTTTGCCGTTTCAGCCCGTGTCTTCGATGCCGTTTCTTCAGTGTCGGACAACTCGATTATAATTCGAGCTTGACAAAGGTCCGCATCAACAACTTTCTTCTTGTCGTCATCTCTCGCAGCATCCGGCTTGGAAGGGGTCTTTGGTCTCTTTTGTTTCGGCGTTTTATTCGGTGTCTTTGTGGACGTAGCTTCTTCGGTGTCAGACAACTCGATGACAAGTGGAAACTCACCGTGGTCCGCACGAGCTGCAGAAACCTCCTCCTCGAAACCATTGCTCCCTTTGGCACCAGTGGGCATTGAGGGGGTATTTGGTTGTTTTCGTTTGGGCGTTTTAGCTGGAGTCTTCACAGGCTTGGTCGCCGGCGTTTCAGACAAGGGGGCCATGACGGGAATTGCATCAGCGTCGATTGATTCTGGAATCTTCTCTTCATTTTTAACGTCGTCATCAGACGCCGGCTTTGAAGGGGTCTTCGCTCTCTTCTGTTTTGGCGTTTTAGCCGGTGTCTTCACGGTGGACTTCCCGGGCGTTTCGGATAAGACGCTAATTACAGGAGATGCAGGGACATCGCAAGCTGTCACAACGTCCTCTTTCTCTGCCTCCTGTTTCGTGTCAGCAGTTGACTTTTGGGGAGTCTTGACGCCTTTTCGTTTCGGTGTCTTCACCAAAACCTTCTCAGGAAGGCCACAGAGTGGTGCGGCAGGAAACGCGCATCCTTCCACCACGATGGCAGGGACTTTCTTTTCCTCTTTCTCCCTCTTCGCACCACTGGCGCCTTGCCCGGAAGATGGGGTCTGCTCTTCCTTCTGTGTCTTCTTCTTGGTGGGAGTCTTGAGCGGAGTGTTCTTCCGAATCTCCGACAAGAAGCTGACAACGGCCGCTTCTTCTTCCACGTCCATCTTCACCTCTGCGTCATCTTCTTTCACCTGAGCAGCTGGCCCCGCCGGAGTAGGAGTACAATTTTTAGTCTTCCTGCGGTTGCGTTTCGCCTTCTTAGACGGAGTCTTCTCGGGGGTCTTTGCCGCCGCCACCGCCACCTCATCTTCCTCCACAGCTGAAACCTCCTCCTCCTCCTCCTCTACGCAAACGCTAGACTCCTTGGCCTCATCTCGTTTCTTCTTCTTGGCCGACGACTTTGTTGAAGCCTTGACGCCCGCAGTGTCATCGGAAGCGTCCGTCGTGGGGAGCTCTCCCTCGGCCTGCAGCACAAACACCACAAGAGATATCTGGGTCAATTCACTGCTAAAGGTCTCCCCCCCACCCCCCCACCACCCACGCCTGTGTGGGTCATGCAGGTTATTTGATCATGCGTCACTGCAAGTGGGAGCAGGGAGCAAGGAAAGTTATCACGAAGTACAAGACATGTATTTTACTGTACTGCCCCCTGCTGACCATGCCGAGGCCTGCAAACCCTGCAATGGCCCAGCGGTGGCCAATTTGCCGCTTGTTGGTTCGAGGTTCGAATTCCAGCTGCCGCCCTGGCTATTACTGCAGGTGTTTAAACCGCAACAAAATAGTACGGCGCTATCGGCTTCATTAATATTACGTAATTTGCTAAAGTAGGCCATTGCGTGCTGGAGTCATGGTCAAAATTTGGCAATAAAAAAACAATTAACTACACATTCTTAAATTGGGATTATACATAGCAATCATCGCCATTTACTGCTAAAAAACTTGGAAGGATCCTCCTCAAAAAGTCTTGGGACTTAAGTGTTTGCTTTCCTCGATAAATATTAGTTAATGACGCTATATATGAAAACACCATTATTACTCTTGTGATTCCGATCTTGAGATGCTTAACAGGGGAATGTTTGTGGCCAGAGAAATTTCCACCACTTTCTTAAGACCACCAATGGAAGTGAGCACTGCCCCAATCCTTATTTTAGCATGAACTCATTTGACTCGACAACTTTTCCATGTTTTCAAAGGCCCTTTTAGAGAGCAGAGGGTACCATGCACAAATGTAGTGTTCGAGCACGTACATCCCTTGGTCACGCCCAACCGCTATACAGGAGGGCCTCCCACAGCTGCTTCGTTCGTGGGGGGTTGAATGGACCAGACTTTGGCAGGAATGATAGTCGCGTTAAAAGGAGGGCATAGGGACCGATTCAGATATCTAATCGCCACCCGTGTTAGCTGTGGCCGGGAATCAAACACGGGTGTACACGCGGGTGTAGAGAGCAGCACCGCTAGCCACTTCGCCACCACCGCAGTTCCAAACCGGAGAGGAAGTCGCAGCAAGGTTACTACCGCGCACCTGCAGTTTGGCCTTCTTGGCCGGTGAACCATCACCGGGAGACGCGAGCTCCTCGCGCTTTTTCTTCTTCTTCTTCTTCTTTTCCCCGTTCGGCTTCTCCTGCAATCGAAGCCGGGCGGCGGGGTGCTCCGTTAACGCGGCGTTCACGCCGGCGGTTCGCATCGACCCGCACGCCGGCCGCTCGCTGCAGTGCTGACAAGCGTGAGACTAACACCCCGGCGGCACCAGTTAAAACACGTTTTCTTAGGCTTTGTGTCAAAATCAGGTCGGTTTTGTTAAACCAGGTGGTGATAACTCAAGCGACGAGGATAGGCTCATTCATTACCAAACTGATGGAAGCAAAAATTAAGTTCAGCATTGAAAACAAACAAAAAAAAGAGGCGAGCGCAGAACGGATTTCAGCTCGGGAAGATTACCTCCAGATTGATCGCCGAGCGAATTCTAGAATCCTAAAACGAAGCTACAGAGACATGAAACAGATATAGCTCGACTATAATGCTACTGTCAAATTGCAATCGCAAGTGATGTTATCATAAAGGATCGACGGAGTAGCATCAAATTGTGAAACATCGTCAAAATATACACATCATGGCTACTAGGGGGGTCAAATAAACTCTCAAACCACAGGTCTTTTAACTCTTTTTCAATTTCAAACAAGTGTGGGGTGGTTCTCACATCTGAGCCAGCAGTGGTAATTCCTCATTATCAAGGAAGGAACCAGTTCCCCCCCCCCCAACCATAATATTCTGATAGAATTGTATCATCCGTCGACTGGGACACGAACTAGCAAGTCGAGGACCCTGGCGATCGTAGCTCCTGTAAGCTACGTCGGAATCAGAATTTATACTGGAGGGATCTGATGAGCTATAAAGCTCTTTTCACAGATTTCCAGTACGGGCACGGGGTCAGAATGTGACAACAACAATATAAAAACACGATAGGAGTGCAAAGCACGGGAAATGTAAAACAAATCAAAGAAAGTCCATTGACCAAATTCACTTATTTTTCAGAAGAGACCTGACCACAAATGACAGCTCAACAAAGTGGCAAATCATGTTGAAATTTATAGCAGCAAAACACTCTAAATAACCCTGACGCCCTGCCAGCAATTGCCTCGTCAGCGGTAGACTTGAAGAGGTCCTTGCGGTTGAGCACGGTGGCAATGGCGTCGAGGCTTGCCGTGTACACCGGGAGGGCCACAGATGCCTGTGTCTTCACGTGCAGGACCTTCACGTTGCCCCATCCCTGGAGGGTGTCGCATGTGCACACGCAGACAAAAGATCACCCATAGAGCCTAAACAGACTGTTGGGGCAAGTGCTATTCACGAGTACCTATATGAAGGCCGGGAAAGCCTTTGTCTTCCCAGTGGTGATGTTTACACACCGCACCAGGTACTCATTTGAGGCCGAGTCGACCTAGGGGAGCCTCAGGAACGGTTCAAATAAAGGTCACTGTAGTCGGCCGTGAACGGGAATCAAATTCACGGGAGTATGCCAAGGGAGTGGTAACGTACTTATCCCTATACTGTGTGTGGACCCGAAGGTCATTTGAAAGAGGGACCTCAGCGGTAGCTCTGTAATATCCGCTTCTGTTGGTCGTTCTATCACCAAGGGCTGCAGCGCCCTATGAGATTCCCTAATGGATTCTTTGATTCTCATGGAACGACGGTCGTTTGATCAGGTTACAATTGGGAACGAAATTACTGAGAAACAATATGAAACCGCCACGGAAACTATTGCTGATGGCTGCCCCCCCCCTCCCCATCTCTTGCCCGGGTGCATCATGGTCTGTGGGAACAAAAGGACTCACCCCTGGACACTTTTTGGCCATCGTGGAGGCAACAGTCATGATGTTTTCCACGATATTGTTCAACTCCATGGTCGTGTTGCCCACCAACACCGTACTGAGAGACACAAAAACATCACCAACAATATGCATCAACATCCGTCATCAACAACGTCATCATCGTGAATCAAAATCACCACCACAATTATCGTCGTCCATCGCGGTCATAAACATTGTCGTCAATCTTGTCGCGCCTCCGATTAGCACGGTTGGGCCAAGCACAGTGCAAAAGAAGTTCAACATACATACACATACAATCTTCACCAATCGTCATAATCCATCACAATTATGGTCATCGCCATTCATCATCGCAGTGTGCAAACTACTGCACCGCCGGTGCCATCGCGCACACGCCGAAGCACACAAAGACAAACACAAGAACACGTACTTGCAGTTTCCCTTGTTGGAGACATGCAGGGCTGTTCCCGAGATGAACCTGCCCAACTCTCGGTCCAGATTCTTGTGCAGCAAATTCACCGAAAGGGGGGCCCTTGATACCGATGCGGACAAGGCACACAACAACCGATTAGCGAGCCGGGCGCGGGGAAATACGCCCGTAGTCCGGTGATGTCCTGGCAGGGGTTGATGGATCGTTACGAGATCAAAATGTATTTCACGATTCCACCTCTCTCCTCCGCCCCACCCCCCGCCCCCCCAAAGCCATAACAGACTGTTGGGGCAAGTGCTGTTAGCGAGCACCTATGAAGACCGGCATGGCACACGAGGGGGGTGAGTCGCATACACCACCCTCGACCGCCTTTGTCTCCCCAGTGGCGATGTTTACACACCGCACCAGGTACTCATTTGAGGCCGAGTCGACCTAGGCGAGGCCCAGGACAAGTTCAGATAATCGTCAGTGGTGTTGGCCGTGTGGCCGTGAGCGGAAATCGAACTTGGCGCGCTAACCGTTTCACTATCCCCCCCCCCACCCCCACGCTTGTAATCCAGCACTATGGAGGCGAGGGTTTGGTGGATCGCCAATTCTCGCACGCAAACACCGAACGCACGAATCGCCAGCAAAGCAACCGATGAGGATTAATCGGCGAGAATATGCCAAGCGCACCGCCGCACGACGGCGCACCGCAATCGAGCGCTCACTTCTTGGCCGCGTAGAAGTGTCGGCCCAGGTGCGAGGGCAGCAGGCGGCGGATGCGGGAGTCTGCGAGGAAGAGGTCGTAGCTGCGGAGGAGCTTCAGCTTCGCCTCGTACGGCTTGTACTCCTTCTTGAGCGTCTGGTAGGGAATCACCTGCGCGGTGCGTCACGAGCGGGGTGCCGAGGTTGGTGGGGGCGGCGAGACGATCGTCACAGTTAAGGTCACGAGGTGTCAGTGGCCACTCATGACGGTTCTTTGTCATTATCTCCGTCGTATTACAATTCTTTACCAATTTCCTCATCTTACTTCTGTTCATGCCATGTATTGTACACTTTGTCATTATCTCCGTCGTATTACAATTCTTTACCAATTTCCTCATCTTACTTCTGTTCATGCCATGTATTGTACACAGGTGGTCCTCGGACCTACATGAGGTGATGTTTCCGAGGGAATGCGCAGCAAGTCGAGACCACGCGAAGTCGAGACCGATTTTCCCAAGAGAAACAATGACATAATAGGGGGTTATGTTCCTGACCAAGGGTCCGATATGCAGCTTTTTATAGGTACGAATACAAATGTCATATTTAATCAACTGTCAATCATCTATAAAGTACAATAATGGTGCTTTCAAAGATTGACGAAAGTCAAACTTTATTCGAGGAATCGCGTGTATAATGTACATCCCCCTTTGTCCATCCACTGCTGAAGGTCTCATCTTGTGGTGTCAAGCAAAGGGGTTGCTTGACCACGCTTCACCATGCCGGTCAGTGCGGGTTCACATAGTTGGCGGCGGGGGCAGGACCGGTTCAGATATCACTCGCCACTGATGTTAGCCGTGGTGGGGAATCCAAATCAAGTTACCGGGCTCACAGTGCGCATCAGCTGCAGACGTCGCCGGGAGAATGAGAGCAGTACGCACCCGAGTGACGGATTTGATGTCGCTCTTCTGCAGCAGCTTGGTGTAGTGGCTGCACGTCTGCTCGGGGCTCATCTTCGGCTCGTCCTTGGTGAACAGGCACACTTCCACATCGTCGCAGCGCACCGAGTGCGGCAGCCCTCTACGGGAGAGAGAGAGAGAGAGACGCGATCGTGCAAATCACATTCAGGTCACAGTGAGAACTGCCGAGGTAGGTTTCATTGCGCAGGTGGGTGTGGTGGTGGAGCATGGCTATGATGCCAGCACTCTGGAGAGTTGCTGAGGGATGGTGTTCATCTTTATTGGGATAATTCACCTTGGAGTTATCACCTAGACATGTACACATACACATCATTAAGACCTCCTTTGCCAGTACCAAAATGTAATAATAGGGTTTTCCCCTTTTTTCTGGCAACAAGACTGAAACCTTTTTTACGAGGATTCACGTCTGCATTAACCACAATACCTGCAGTCAAAATGCAAACAAAAACATACTATGATAATATATGCATTGTCCTTGAAACTGATTGGTTCACACCAAGGGACGGCTTTCTTTTGAGCCTCGACCCAATTGATAACATTTTTGACATGCGTTTTTCTGGATTTTGTTGTTGTCATTCTGTCTCTCACTGTTCAAATAAACATACCATTAAAATTATAGACTGATTATTTCTTTGTCAGTGGGCAAACGTACAAAATCAGCAGGGGATCAAATACTTTTTTCCCTCACTGTAGACGTGTCTATTTTCACAGCCGGGTGGGGCACTTTGGTGAGGAGGGCACTAAACTCACAACAGTCCACGAGCCAGATATTTATTTTACATACACGTGAAGACAAATATGGAAAGGAGCATATTGTCTGTTACTGTTTTTGTTATGTATATATATTGAATGTGGTGTGCCAGATGCCTGGTGACAGACAGGGCCTGTGCTTTGCGTTGAAGAGGGTGGCGGGTAGCGGCATCACGTACATCTTGATGACGCAGTCCTTGGGTGGGATGCGCCACACCGTCACCATCAGCTGGACTCTGCTGGCCACTTCGAAGAGCGGCTGTTTCTTCTCCGATTTCACCGGCCTTTTGTTTTGATGCTCGATCAGAGCCTTGATGGCCAAGCTCACCTGCAGCCAGGGGACACAAGGCAACCGGCGTCACCACCACCACGCTACCATCCACGCAGCAGCGCCTTTTGGCTGGCCATCGAACAAAGACGGTCACCGCATTGCACGCTTTCGGATGCGCTTCTACGGCCGTCTGGAACGCTCTTCCCATATTAGGAAGCCACTGGAGCTATGCAACTTTACATTTAGATTGAAAACTAATTTCTTTATAAACTTTTGGGTTAAATTTGTGGTCCTCCCCTCACTCCTCCGAGTCGCGCGATTGGCTATGTACGGTGCGAAAGAAGTTCAACATGCATACATAATCATCATCATAGGCTGTGCTCTTATCCCCAGCTGGGGATGAAGGGCATTATCTATTTTAGTCACGTGATGCCTCAAACTAACTCAACTCCTGTGCATGATCATGCATTGTACATTCACATCCCTTCGTGTCAATCCACTGCTGGATCAGGGCTTCCAACATGCAGTGCGGGGCATTGGGGATTATTAGGACACTATACTTTCATATCGCACTGCTTAGTGTGGGTCGAAGGTAGGGTTGTACAGATGTGACATTGGATTTTGCTGCACTACTCTCTGCTGCCCACAATGTAGCACCACATTCTGTAACACCTGTTCCACAAGGTAGTTACCCAGCCAACCACTCTCCAGGCTAAAACAAACTTCTTCTTTGGTTCTTTCGGTAAAGTCACGTAGAATGAGAACGGTTCGCTCCAGCGCTGTCCCTCCAGACAGTCTCGTCCCTTCACCTGATGAAGGCCGCTTGTGTTGTGGCCGAAACGTCGTGAGAATTTTATTGTGTTATTTTATCAATTTATTATTTTATTCTCATTCTACGTGACGTTACCGAAAGAACCAAAGAAGATGAATCCTTGCAGTCACGAAAGCTTTAAATAAAAATAAAACAAACTTACCTTTCGAAATCGTGCTAACTCAAGGGTTAAAGTCATAGATTAAGTTATTGTGAAAGATCGAAAATATATACACAAATTATATTTTAATAATTTCCCCAAAAATCCCAATTTTTTTTACACGATTTGGCTTCGTGCAACAGATTTGGCTTCATTCAATAATGTAACACTGGGTAATATTTTTTTCAATGTAAAAAAATATATATAATCAACTTTGGTGAGGTGGTAATTTGATAAAAAAAAACAGCTGTTAGCCAAACGGTTACTGCAAGCCAGTTTATATTATTTCGTGCAACAAGTTACCAAGACTCAAGAAAAAGTTTTACCGTTCATCGAAAATAAAACCGGAGGCTACCACTCAAGTAATTCTAAGATTACAGAACGGTATTCAATTGTGAAATTTGAAGCATCGATCTGAGACCATGGCATGTTAGTAATGGCGAACGAGCCACTTTCAGACGCAACTAAATTATAACTGCAGCAAGAGAACTAATAAAGAATAAATAAACAGCTACGTTGAACGCAGCCCACGTGTTTAATGGCTATGTTAGGTTTGCTGCACGGATTACGCGTTGCATTGTACGTCTTTGTACTCTAGGCCTCCTTTGGGAATGAAAACAAATCGTTTGTAAAGATCTCAAATACAGTATCGTACGCATGTACGATACTGTTTACGAGATCGATGCCCTCCCCTCATCCAGCAGTGGGTAAAAAAGTGGCCGTACATCTGATAAGTCGTAGAATGGATAACGCCAGAACATGACCGTCAAACATATACATTTTATAAACCTAAGTCGCGAGTTAATGGCTATGTTGAACTCAGAAGCGTGGGCTTGGTTTAATGTACCCAGCCTGTGTGCATTATATTCCGTACAGTACACGTGTTTGTGCCGTTAAGACAAAATCTATTCCGGCCTACATTATTTTTCTGTCGATGGCTTTTCTCGCCACATGCAGCTCAAGTCTGGCTTTCGCAAGCGGCCACGGTAATCGGCGCTGGGTTTAGGCCACAGTAATCGGCGCTGGGTTTAGGCCACGACAATCGGCGCAGGGTTTAGGCCACGACAATCGGCGCCGGGTTTAGGCCATGCTTGCCCCATCGCAACACAGTTAGGAATGGCGACCGCTTGTGCAGGCCTTCATCCGGCAGCCGATTGATCACGGCCGCCAACTGACTGTTAACGGTGATGGTTAACGAAGGGCGTTAAAGGCGACGCGTTTCACGGGACCCACGCTGACGCGAGGGGGCCCGGCCAACAACCATCGCAGAGCCTAAACCCAGCGCGGCCTCCACGTGTCGTCCATCGCATCCCCACCCACCACGCACCCCGCTCGTCCCGCCTCAGCTCTCAGCTGCGAGCGAGCGAGCCAGGAGGCATCTCGTCCTCCGCCATCATCACCACCACCATCATCATCATCACAAACCTGGCACTTGTTCAGCCCCGGAGTCCGGCACACGTGCTCCTTCTCGGTCGCCATCTCTACTCGCTGCTTCCACGTGGTTGATCGCTTCCTCACGCTTTGCGGCGAGAGAACTTTTACGACGCCGACGTAAAAAGGGGGGGGCAGTTAATTTACGGCAGTGACGTCACGGAATTTTGTTTCACACGGCGCGTTCGGTTTTGCGAGAGTGACGTCACTTCCGTGCACCGCCGCGCGCAGGCGCCCGTCACGATTTACGGTTGAAGGTCGCGTGTGGTTGTTTTTTTTTACGACACGCGCCGTGTAAATTTAAACGACGGTGACGTCATTGGCCAAGGTTTGCGGTGGGCCCGGTAACGATTCAGAGATTCGATTTTGTAATAAAAAAACGATTCGATTTGAGAACGAATCATTGCATTTTTTTTCAAATTGACCCAAAAAATTCGTCAATTACACTTTTTTTAATACACTGTGATCTATGGTATAACGCCTCCACTAACTAATTACAACTAATTACAAACGTTCGTTTCTCTAACACGCGATTGCTTGCGCGCATTGTGAGCAATCGAATTGCTTTAATCGATTAGTCCTTTCGATGCTTTAGAGGAGTTGTACACCCCTAGCTGCCACTGCTATTCACTTGCGTAAAATAAAATGTTTCGCTCCGGATGACACGCTGCAAAGTATTATCTGTATATTCTGCAGTCACGAAAGCTTTAAAACAAAATTTATTATCTGTACGTTGATTTAGCGTGCTGATCTTAAAGGTGCATTGAAAAATGTGATACTCCGACTAATGCTTCTATTGTTGTGGAGTAACTCATGCAGCCAGCTGTGGCTCTTAGGATTTGGTGGTACATGTTATTTATGTAGTTTATTGTAAAAATTCGGTCACAGTCCCTGTTGATCACTGTTACATTGCAATTATGGCTTTATTTGTTGGTGATTTCGAAAACGTTTTTTTGGTTTGGACATGTTTGTTTTGTTGTAGTACGGAGTTAGACTTATGGCCTTAATCTTAGTTTTCCTGTGGTTGTTGTTTGACTTGCATCCCACTGGGATTATTTTGCACACAGCGTTGGTGTACGGTGCTATTTCAGTAATATTTTTGCTGTTTTTTTGTCATGGATTTTCTGTTTGCACAGTCACACACATAGTCACTTTAAGATGTTTTTCTTGTTCGTGTTTTAGTTTTTGTTTTGCTTGTTGTGGTTGCACCCGATTCAAGAGCCGAATGGCTCGCAGAGCGATGATCTCGCCATGGGTTTTACGATAGTTACGTCACCGGCTCGCGGACCAATGGGGAGAGAGGATTCTAGTTCATTGAACCCAATTCAGGAATCGTTGACGCAGATCGAAGATGCCGATTAATTCCAGCTCCGTCGATTCCCATCATCACGCAGCGCACAAACACCAAACCCCCCCCCCCCCCCCCCGTGTTTAAATAATCGATTATTTGCGAAATCCGTGAGCGTTGGACGCTATTTGGCGCGCGGGTCACTTTGCATACTCCACGTACCGCGGGGGGGTTAAATTAAACACAAACGATTCACGAATAGATGGAATCGAGAGTTGGAATCGTTTGTCGATTAATGCAATCGGTCCGAGCTGCACGCTGGTCGCTGGGTGAGTTGCGCGCGACTCGCGGTCCACCCCAACAAATGATAATAGGCGACTAGTAACAACAACTACAACTATTTATTTATAACTGCAACAATAGTAATTCATAACGTGCCATACGGTTTACCTCGTATTCTTGTACAGGGACATTGAGTTTTGCAGGCCCCATACGGCGTGCAGCCGTTTCAATCCGGAGCCAGAATGAATAAAACGTACGTCTGTGTGTGTTTGTGTTTCTGCCTTGTGAAGGAGACTTTGTAGGACGAACGTCGAGATTTATCAGGGGGCACGGGGTGACCAATAAGGGTCTGGGTCGCACTGATAGGAGTGGTAATCATTTGCAATGGTCGGAAAACCTGCTCGGGTTTTTTCAGAGGCTGCGCGACCTGTTAAACCCCTTTAAATAGTCAACTTTTTATACTGGTAGGAAGGAAGTTGTAAACTGAGTGTACCAGCTTGCAATAGATTAATGTGTCCGTCCGTCCGTCCCCTTTCAATACTTTAACGAAGTGAAATCTCGTGCTGTTGTTGGGGTGTAAAAATACAATTGCGCAAAATTTCAATGTTCCTACCAGCCCACCCTGCAGGGACCTGTTTTATATTTCAACGCTTCTGAGTTTAATTCAGGCCTTCGGGAAGCGTGGGAGGCTAGACCACATTGGGTTGTTACTTGCGTGGCCTTTGAGGCGTTTGACCCCTTTCGACCTCCCGGGTGTCCCTCAGTGCGCTCAGAACGACACGGAGTCTCATCTATAAGTTGCAGAATACCGCGTTAAACATTACGCAGGCTTGGTTCGTGCGCAGCACAAAGGTCGTCGTCGTCCCCCTCCACCACCACCCCCTCAAATAACCTCCGATTGGCTCGGTTGGCTAACGTACGGTGCGAAAGAAGTTCAACGTACCGTACAGTTCTCGTTAGTTGAGGCAAGTGCTGTGAGCGAGTAGCACCTCTGAAGGTAAGCAACGGCACGCGATGGGGGTGGGTGGCCAACACCACGCCCGGCCGCATTTGCCTTCCCAGTGGCGATGCTTACACACCGCACTAGGGTAGTCATTTGATGCTGAGTTGACCTAGGGGAGGCCCAGGACCGGTTGAGATCATTGTCACTGGTGCTGGTCGCGAGCAGTAATTGATCTCGGGTCTCCGTTACACCACCGCGCCCCATTAGTACGGTATTCATACACATGTGTACATGTGGATTGCATGAAAGAGAAATTTAAAGCCATGTGTCCAGTTGAAAACAACCCTCATAACTTTCAGATGTGTAATTCTGCGTGTGGGTGGGTGTTGCCGTGCGTTGGATTGCATCTGTGGTCATGTATGTGTAGTGGCGCACTCAGAGACACTAGGAGTAGGAGGCACTCTATTTATGAACAGCCTTCACAGTTCACAAGAGGTAACTACAGCTCCCAGTCAGGACAGCTGGCAGACTTCCTGACTGACGACGCCGAGATGGTGAAGACGGCGGCGAAGATTTCGGCGGCACGACGGGATCCCACTCCAAGCGACAGCCACGAGCCTCCGCTCGGGGTCCCCTTTTATCCTCCCAGCGTGGCCTCGCTCCGCCCCGGCCACGCCCCCCTTCTAGAACCTACTAGCGGGTTCCCGGGCTTCCCTCACGTGCCCCCTCTATCACCTTTGCCCTACATCCCTCTCCCTGCTTATCACGTGGCCTGCTGACAGACAGGGCTGCTGCAACTGCAGATCCCCTTCTGTGCCAGCAACCAGCGCTATGCTACGTAGTGACCCATTCCATGTCACTACATATGTATGTAGATGGGTTGGTGTGTGTATCTGCGTGCTACTGTGTGAGTGTTCAGTATATGAACTTTGTTTAGGCATTCCCTAGATGGACTTAGCCTTTATTAGCTGGTGCTGTGTGTAAACATCAGCACTCGGGAGACAAGGTCAACCAAGCGTGGTGCTGGCCCTACCTCGTGCTCCGTGCTGATCTTCATAGGTGCTCACTAACATCACTTGCCCCAACAGTCTGAAGGCTATACCGGGGGGTCTTTGCCTTTGTACATGTAGTTGGCCATACATCCAAGTACAGGGCCACGGCGCTTGATAATTTGTTGGCGCCAGCTCTGGCCGCCTTACCCGCATGTCTTGTGGTTGCCTGTGCCTCCGTGCCAAAGTTGCTTGTGTTTTTCTGAAGGCTACGCGGTGACATCCCGTGTGCGTGTCGGCGTGTGCGATCGGACACGATGCTGCGTCTGGGGAAGCTGGTGCCGGCGCGCACGATGCTGCTGCTGTGCGACATGCAGGAGAGGTTCCGCAACAGGGTCATCTATTTCCCCGAGATCGTGCAAACGTCCGCGCGACTACTGCAAGTGAACGTCGCCAAAGCACAGCTCGTTACGCACGCGCAACACACGGGCGCGCAAAATTCACACGCGGACGAGGGGGTCTCGAAAGCGCAATTGCGTCGATAGCGCGGTCGGTGATAACAACAACAACAACAAACAAAAAACTACGACGAATCAAATTGGAAAAGGGGGGGGGTAAGAAAAAAAAAGACCACGACGATAAACACAAGCACCGAACGGCCCGTTGCAGGCTGCGCGGCTGCTGGGGGTGCGTGCCGTCGTGACGGAGCAGTACCCGGATGGCCTGGGCCCCACGGTATCCGAGCTGGGGGCGACGGACCTGCCCACCTTCCCCAAGACGTCGCTCAGCATGGTCATGCCGGAGGTCCTGGCGCTGCTGGAGACGTTGCCGGCGCCGCGCTCCGTGGTGCTGTGCGGAATCGAGGCGCAGGCGTGCGTCATGGTGAGGGGGGCAGCCGATGTAGATGCAGAGCAACGACTGCGATTTCAAGTTGCAGGTGGTCGAGCCGGACAACCGCATCAGGAGCGGCGAAGTGTATCGCTGCGGTGGCATTGCGTCCCTTGTATGTTGTACGGTCTGTTCTGGATGGCCACAGTCGCACACTATTGGAGAGTTTTTTTTTTTACGTTCCATTTGTGCATCAGGTATCCGCATCTGCTGCCATGGTTTCTGCGGATGTGGTTTAGGGTGGACCCTGAGCTTCATGGAAGATCAAACCGAGGGATCTTTCATAAATTCGGTCGTCGTGGGTAGCGAGCGTGACGACGGATGTGCCTGTTCGTCGATTGGTGTCAACTCTTACGCGCCGGGGTTCTCTCGTAGAGTTGCGTGCAAGAGGGTCGACATGTTTCCGCTTGTGGATGCCGAAATTGAAATTCATTGCCCACGAGTGAATCACCTGGAATGCGCCGGATATCGTTAGATCGCATCGTGGGTGCATAGTGTGGCTGAGCCTGAATAAGGCCTTGGATGGGCAATTGTTGGTGCCGGCTCGCTGCCTGGCTGCCTTCCTGCTTGACTGCTGCCTCAGTGATTGTGAGATGCAATTTACATGAACGATGCTCCATATACAACTTAAACAACACATTATTACTATTGTGGGTGCCAATTTCAATAGTAGCACAACCGTCGATGGCTTTTTACAAACTAATACTATGCAGGTCATAACAACGTGACCTGCATAGTATTGAATGGCTTGTGCATGCCAATGTTACGTTGTGTTAAGTTATTTGCGTGTGTTCCTGTATCGACTCTATTTCCCCACACCCTCTCACTCTATGGTGATCACGGGTTGCCGTGGCGATGGTTGCCCTGGTGATGGCTGCCAGGCGACTGCGCTGGACCTGCTGGAGCGAGGCGTTGATGTACACCTGATCGCCGACGCCTGTTCGGCTCGCAGGTTGATTACCTTCAGCATAATATGCTCATTCATCAAGAGTCCAACACGGTGGTTGTGTAACTTAGACAGAATTCTCAAATGTCATTGCACACTACCCCTTAATGATAATTATTTATAACTTTGTTGATCCACTGCTGGATGACAGCCTCTCCAGGTCTTATTGGTTCTGGGGCTTGTTTGACCATACTTCACGCTGGCCAGGACTTGTTGGTGAAGGGTAGGGTGCACAGTACAGGTGTATGTGGGTTTCATGAACAGCATAAATTACATACAAGTGTGCCGAGGATTTCAGAACAACGGAGACGTGACGGATCTGTCAGATGCAGTTGAATAACAAAAGTGGCTTTTTTGCGCATACGATGAGAGCCTTTGTTTCTAGAGTGGAGAGTTAGCGACGTTAGCAGAGAGGTGAGATTATGGAGATTGTGTGGAGAAAAGTAGAATTGAATGACGGGGAAGGTATGAGAGTGCTTGCAGAGGAGTAGAGAGAGATGAGAAGGAAGATGTAGGATAGTGTGTGGAGGGGAGTAGAGTGAGATGAGAGGAGATAAGTAGGCAGGATTCATAGAGGATCGATCTTGCCATTGAATCATAATCTGAATATGTACTTATACTGGACGAATCCTATGAGCTCTTTTTCACAGATGTCCAGTAGATCCAGGATTGATCCAGGATTGGATCGGGAAGTAGTGGAGGGATCGGAGTATTGGGCTCATGTGGTCTTGTTTACGGGTGAGGAGTCTTGCAGTGGTATTTTGGATCATCTGAAGTTGGGAGATGAGGGATATGGGGAGGCTGTCGAGAGAGAGTTATGGTGGTCCGAGTCGGAATCTGACAGTTAAGGAGATGGTAGATGAAGTTTAACTAGCTGTGTATTACCAAAACATCTACAATACATCACAATCCAAGATAATACATTGAGCAAAATAGATATTTTATTGTGCCTTGAGATATCAGGGGTGACTTACTAATTTTATATTTACAGGAATTACAGATATTAGAACTATTTCTGAGATGCCTTGAGGCTAACTTTTTCATTCACACTCGGGGATAAACTTCTCACATACCCTGCTACAGATAAGTTTTCACTGTATGGCATTCAAACTGATACTTTAATTTGGCCATATTAACTCAATATCCCAGTTTAACATGATGTGTTTGTGTGCAGTCATTGGTGACCAGACTGAGAAAATGAATTCTCCACATTTGAGAATCGTCCTGACCTCTTGACCATTGCTGAATGAATTGGAGTATCCACCCATTCAGCGGCATTTGTGAAAACATGACACCTTTATGATATAAGCGGTGCTGCGTGCGATGCCTTCACAGCCAGGTGGACCGGCTGATAGCGTTTGAGCGTATGAAGCAGAGTGGCGTCTTCATCACGACCAGCGAGTGCATCATCCTGCAGCTCCTGTGCGATGCCAAGCACCCCAAGTTCCGGGAGGCACGTCACACGCAGACACACATAGTCATGCACAGACACACATAGTCATGCACAGACTCACACACATATGTACGAAGATAAAGATCCTCCGTATAGCCTCAACAGACTGTTGGGGCAAGTGCTGATGCGGCACACGAGGGTTGTGGCTGGCCAGCGCTGTTCCCGGCTACCTTTTTCTCCCCAGTGCTGATGTTTACACACTTCACAATTCAAGGCTGAGTCGACCTAGGAGAGGCCCAGGACCAGTTCAGATATTCGTCACCGATGTTAGCTATGATCGGAAATCAAACTCAGGTCGCCAGGTTCTTAGCGCAGTGTGCCACCATTCCCCACCAGACAGACACGTCCAGTCGTTTGGTATTCACGTGTAGTGACTGACTCGGAGACACTAAGAGTTGAAGGCACTCTGTTTATTAACACGGCCTTTAATTGTTTTATATTTTTATTATTTTATTGTTTCCCTTCTACGTGACTTTACCGAAAGAACCAAGAATACGGCCTTACGAGTTAACAAATCGAATAATCCGTCTATAGCCGACTACGGTTCCCAGTCAGGACAGTTGGTGGACTGCCTGACTGGCGACGCCGAGATGGTGAAGACAAAGACGACTAAAGAAGAACGGCGAAGTCTCAAGCAGCAGCAGCAGCACGACGGGGATCCCCCCACTCCACACGACAGCCCCGAGGTCCCCTCCAGGAGCCCCTCTTTTACTGTCAGCGTGGCCTGGCTCCGCCCCCGGCCACGCGGGTTCCTCGTGCGCCCCTTCCGTGACCTTTCACCGTGCGTCCCTTACCGTGACCTTTCACCGAGATCCCTCTCTGGTGTATCACGTGGCCTGCTGTCGTCAGGGCTGCCGTAAGCTGCAGATCCCCTTCCCCACCAGCAGCCAGCACTGTGCTGCTACATGACCAATTCTATGTCACTACACACGCACACACATACACACATCCAGTCTTATGCCCTGACTCAATTCAACACTTTTCTTCCATTTCTGTTACAGGTACAGAAGCTATTAGCTCCACCAGTTCCAGACACGGGGCTTCTGGGAATGTTTGGAGGAGCTCCCATTGCTGAAAAACGTTGAACTAAAGCAGCGGAACGATTCGCAACACGAGCAGCGGTCGACTGCCATGTCAGAAAAAAAAGAGCTGTCATCTAAATTAACGATGCTCAAATGCACGCGTGATTAACTGTTTCCTAATGCAGAAATACAATCTGCAATGTACATGCATGTATGATTGCATGTATGTATGCATATATACGTTTCAAATATAGGGCTGATTCTGTGGCTAGAGGGCTCCATTCACACTCATATCCGAGAGATGAAATCTCATTTGAAGGTCAAATCAACACACTATCGTTTTAGTGGGCTTATGAATATGAGTAACATTTTTGTAAAGCCAGCAGTGGATCTACTTTCGAGGGACTGGTACCAGCATATTGGGATGTGGAATTTCTTCTGCTGGCATGCTGCTGCATTCTAATGTTTTGTTATTTTTTGGGGTTGATTGATGCCCTAAACTTTTACATTTTTACATATTAACACTGTAGCAACTATTCAGACCAAACCAATCGGACGTTTGTTAACTCGCTGTGCCACACAGATCTTTTGAAAAAGACTTGTTGACTTTGCCAGGCTCTCTCCTTTACATGGGTTAAAACCAGCCATCTGTAATTACATTGTAAGTTGATTATTTCTGCCTAGCCATCAATGACCACGCCAATAACTCGTCACTTAAAAGGGACAGTACATAAAGTAAATTGTTGGAGCATTTTGTCCTTGTGTGTGTGTAGATTTTCTCCGAGCAAAATAATAGCTAACAAATTGGCCAATCATTCTAACATGGACTGTCGTGAAAATTAAGGTCTTACTTGAGAATCAGTGAAGCATTCATGAATAAATGGCAATTAGTATTAACAGTATTTTTGACGCCCCCTATCATGAACCCCACATGTTTAATTGTTGAAGTGGTCAATATAAAGGGTGTTAATTGTTTCGGCCAGCATTACCGCGGTAAACGAAGCAATAAAATAAAATATATTTTAGATTTGAATTCACTTCACTGGTTATCTAATGTCTTTCGATCCCTCGTAAAAAGCGCGTGTTATGTAACTGTGCTTGCACCAGACAATATTGGCACAGCGCCCACCTGCATTCATAAGTGCACGCACGTATACAGTAAATACCAGGGATACTGTGTAGGTTGTTGCGATTGTGCTGTATACCTCTGTGATGTGTTTTCGGGTTGTACCGTGCGTTCGGCATGGTGTCCGACGTTTTGCTCCACACGCTGTGATCTTCCCGAGGAATTGTACTGTGCGTGCGCGCGCGAGAAAGCAAAGATGGGGCCGTCCAATTCCCTTCCGCCACTGCTGGTGGCAGGGCCTCCACTCGAGCGAACTCTAAAGGGCATTTGGTCTTCTCTTCCACATTGACCGGATGCGTTGGAAGAGGCGCGCGTGCCTGCACTTTACCCCACCACACGTCATCCGTCGATCGCCTAAACTGCAGCATTCCCATTTATACTGCTGCGTGGACAGAGGTGGGGTCAGAGGACGGGGGAGGGGGCCCACTTGAAAACCAGCACGGTTTTAATGGCCACGTTGGGTTATCGAATCGAACCAGTGACCTCTTGAGTTCGATTCCCAGCAAACGTCAGTGGCGAGTGACGTAAGCACCGGTCCTGGGACTCCCATAGATCAGCTTAACCTGAAATGAGTATCCGTTGTCAGGTGTAAAACATAAGCACCGGGGAGACAAAGGTGGCTGGGCATGGTACTGGCCACACCGCAGCCTCGTGGCCAACTCTGCCCTTGTGTGGTGCCAGTTAACAGTCCTTGCTCCAACAATCTATAAAGGCTGCATGGAGCAGGATCGTTTTGTGTGTATATGGGTGTTTGCGCATGTGGTTAGCACACTGCGCTACGAACCCGGCGAACCGAGTTCGATTCCCGCTCACGACCAACACCGGTGACGATTGTCTGAACCGGTCCTAGGCCTCCCCTAGGTAGACTCGGCCTCAAATGAGTCCCTGGTTCAATGTGTAAAACATCACCACTAGGGAGGCAAAGGCGGCTGGGCGTGGCTCACTTGCAGCACTTGCTTCTACAGTCAGTTAACGGCTATACGGGGGATCTTTCTCTTTGTATGCTCATGTTGCCCGTTTCCATTCCCGTTATTGGCACCCCCAGGCAGCTGGGTTCGATCCGTGGGTGCGGCGCGCACGCCCCATGCATCAGCCCGAGGTCCATGTACTATGTAAGTGGGTGTCCACGTGGTTACTAATGTATATATGCGTAGTGACATCGCGGAATGTCAACGTGCAGTGCCGGCCCTAGAGGGGCACGGCGTGCTGTGTAGTGACATCACAGACACCATAGCGGTGTGGTTGTAGTACCGGCCCTAGAGGGGCACGGCGTGCGGTGTAGTGACATCACAGACACCACAGTGGTGTGGTTGTAGTACCGGCCCTAGAGGGGCACGGCGTGCGGTGTAGTGACATCACAGACACCACAGTGGTGTGGTTGTAGTACCGGCCCTAGAGGGGCACGGCGTGCGGTGTAGTGACATCACAGACACCACAGTGGTGTGGTTGTAGTACCGGCCCTAGAGGGGCACGGCGTGCGGTGTAGTGACATCACAGACACCACAGCGGTGTGGTTGTAGTACCGGCCCTAGAGGGGCACGGCGTGCGGTGTAGTGACATCACAGACACCACAGCGGTGTGGTTGTAGTACCGGCCCTAGAGGGGCACGGCGTGCGGTGTAGTGACATCACAGACACCACAGTGGTGTGGTTGTAGTACCGGCCCTAGAGGGGCACGGCGTGCGGTGTAGTGACATCACAGACACCACAGCGGTGTGGTTGTAGTACCGGCCCTAGAGGGGCACGGTGTGCGGTGTAGTGACATCACAGACACCACAGCGGTGTGGTTGTAGTACCGGCCCTAGAGGGGCACGGCGTGCGGTGTAGTGACATCACAGACACCACAGTAGTGTGGTTGTAGTACCGGCCCTAGAGGGGCCCCGGTGAGCGCTGAGTGATAGCGCTGGATGGCACCACGCTTGGCGTGCAGTGCCAGCCCCTACAGGACAGGGTGTGTGAGTGCCGGCCGAAGGATGGGGTTACTCGAGGCCATGGCTAGGGGTGGTCACGTGACTGGGACCCAGATCCTTCCCGAGGATTCTGGAAGGTGGGCGTGGCCAAGGGCGGAGCCGGCCACGCCACAGAGAATATCAGCCGGGTCCCCAGAGGGACCGGGATGGTTGTTGTTGTTCATCCTGAAGAACCTTTCGTCCACGTTCTACGTTCTCCGAGTCTCCAACACGTGGACCCGGACCCAAGCTGTGGGTCCTGGGCCGTAGTAGAAGTTACGTTGTAACTAGTGTTGTAACTAGTGTAGTTACTAGTGTAGTGTTGTAACTAGTGTAGTTAGCCTGGTGGTGACCACCATAGGTTGTTATACTGTTTAGGGGAAGTTATCCCGTGTGTTGTCTCCAAGTCTACATCTGCGACTCAGTTGAACCCATTACATTTGTATACATAGGGAGCGGTGGTGCAGGGGCGAGTGCACTGCACGACGAAACATCCGGACAAAAAACTGAGTTTGATTTCTGACCACGGCGAACATGAGTGGCGGTCCTGAGCCTCCCCTAGGTGAACTCAGCCTTAAGCGAGTACCTGGTACGGTGTGGACATCACCCGCTTGGGAGGAAGTGAGGCCGGGTGCCATGCTGCGATATTTCTTCACGCTGCCCGATTGAAGGCGACACGTCGCTGATGAGCCTCAATGAGGTCGAATCAGGACCAAGGTTGCGATATTGAAACAAATAACTCGAGGGGAAAACATCGATCTGGATGTCACAAGTAGGCCAATGGATTTGTTTTCTCATTCACTATTCACTCACACCCTGCGTTGTTCCATTATCTGCACACACACACACACACGCGCACACAAAGGTCCCCCGTATAGCCTTAACAGACTTTGCGGCAAGTGCCATCAAGTTCTGCAACCCGCCCTGACCTGCGACTTTAACAACAATGTACTGTGCGCACCGCCCTCGTGTTTTCCAATTGTCTCTACATTTGTGCCTCTTTGCTCCGTGAACTTGTTATACATTTCGTCAAGGAGCACGAATCATCACATGAAACTCCGATATTAGGAAGCCACTGGAGCGGTTGGCTACGTACGGTGCGACAGCAGTACAATATACGCATTGCCTATACTGTGGTTTTCTCGGAGTTTTTCGCTAAGTCGCTATGTTTAACGGCCTGTGGTACATTCCCATAGGTTATCGTATTGTCCACAGGTCTCAGATGTTTCGTGCCTTCTCCACTTATCTGTGTGCAATTATTTTCTCCAATACAATTGTGTTTTTTTAAATGTTTGCGCAATATTGCTGTGAATAGCCTCGATTTTAGCAAAATCTATTCTACCCTCCATTCACATGCCTCTTCTTTTCATCTGTGTGTTCGTTACTTTCTGCATGCTCTCTCGGTGCAGCTATACCATCTAAATGCTGTACATAGTTTTAACTATTTGTTTTCATATACAGGTTTCCCTCGCTTTACGTGGTTTCAGTTACTGCGATTTTCACGTATATGCTGCTAACCTCATTCTATCCATATTCTTGGTTCTTTCGGTGAAGTCACGTAGAAGGGAAATAATAAAATAATAAAAATAAAACTATGTTTTATTAACATAATATGTTTTATTATTATTGTATTATTTCCCTTCTACGTGACTTTACTGAAAGAACCAAGAAGATGAATCCCTGCAGTCACGAAAGCTTTAAATCGAAACTAATTCTGTCCCTAAGTCGTTATATACTATGCGGTTTGAATTCGCTCACATGCGGCTATGTGGTCGGACATTGTGTACTGTGTGTGCTGCGGTGTGTGTATTGTATGCTGTGGTGTATACTGTGTATGCTGTGGTGCGTGTGTACTGTGTGTGCTGTGGTGTGTGTGCACTGTGTGTGCTGTGGTGTGTGTGCACTGTGTGTGATGTGGTGTGTATACTGTGTATGCTGTGGTGTGTGTGTGTGTATTGTGTGTGTACTGTGTGTGCTGTGGTGTGTATTGTGTGTGTACTGTGTGTGCTGTGGTGTGTGTGTATTGTGTCTGTACTGTGTGTGCTGTGGTGTGTGTGTACTGTGTGTGCTGTGGTGTGTATTGTGTCTGTACTGTGTGTGCTGTGGTGTGTGTGTACTGTGTGTGCTGGGGTGTGTGTACTGTGTGCTGTGGTGTGTATGTACTGTGTGTACTGTGTGTGTATTGTGTGTACTGTGGTGTGTGTGTACTGTGTGTGCTGTGGTGTGTGTGTACTGTGTGTGTACTGTGGTGTGTGTGTACTGTGTGTGTTGTGTGTGTGTACTGTGTGCTGTGGTGTGTGTACTGTGTGTGCTGTGGTGTGTACTGTATGTGTACTGTGTGTGCTGTGGTGTGTGTACTGTGTGTGTTGTAGTATGTGTGTACTCTGTGGTGTGTGTATACTGTGGTGTGTGTACTGTGTGTGTACTGTGTGTGCTGTGGTATGTGTGTACTGTGTGTGTACTGTGTGTGCTGTGGTGTGTGTGTACTACTAGTGGGGAGCGGTAGTGTAACCTGGCGACCCGCGTTCGATTCCCGCTCACGGCCAACATCAGTGACGATTTTAACCGGTCCTGGGCCTCTCCTAGGTCGACTCAGCTGATGTGTAAACTTCACCACTAGGGAGACAAAGGCGGCCGGGCGTGGTGTTGGCCACTCCCTAATGTGCCGTCCCGGCCTTGATAGATGCTCGCTAACAGCACTTGCCCCTACAGTCCGTTCAGGCTACACGGGGGATCTTTTTGTGTACTACTCGGCGGGCAGCTGTCTCCTCGTGCGGTTTCGCTTTGTGCGCCCTTTTTTGGAACGCATCTACTACCGCATAGAGTGATGGGGACCTCTTACAGTACTCGATATATCCCCCCCCCCTTTCAGTGCAAACTGATGAAGCCATCCGCGCAGTGCATGACCACAGGACAGATGCCTCACTCGTCAGTACCACCCGATGTGGCATCCGTTCAGCGGTGATAATGTCTCCATGTGGCCAGTAACAGTGAATTATGTGATAACCATGCGACTTGAGTGGGGCTATAAAGTAATTTGTACTGGACATTTTATTTATTATTTTACCAAGTAAGACCCACTGAGCTATATAGCTCATTTCCAAGAGCGATGTGGCCACAAATGACAGCTCAACGAAGTGGCTTATCGTGTGAAAATGTATAGCAGCCAAATACTCTAAACGCACGTTTCATAAATGTGGAGGGCAAAACCGGAGGACCCGGAGAAAAATCCACGCGAGCACGGAGAGAGAAGACACGCAAACTCCAAATATACAGCAGGCATCAGGGTCGGGATCGAACCCACGACCTCCTGTATACCAGGCGAGGTAGTTAACATCTCCTAGCCACCGTGACGCCCCCTTGCATTATCCGTGTGTGTATTCGTGCTGTTGGTCATGGATTACAGCTCTCACGAACCAAATCATTCAGGGTACGTCTGTAGCTGTGTTCAGTGGCGCATTCATCGAGCGTGTAGGCAGTGCAACTGCACCATGACCCATGCCAACCACGCGATACGGCACCGACTGGGTGAATGAGGGTGGTACACGTGTTGGAAGTGCGTTGGGCGACTGTCTGACCTTTCGATTGGAGGGAAGGGCATTGCCTGCCCTGCGGGGGGCATTGACAGGGTGCGTTGGTGTCACAGACTGTGGATCACGCAGCGAGAGTGGGATGTCTATCTCTCTATATAACAAATCTGGTGTCGTTCATCAGAAGATTCGTGTGGAGCTGTGAGCCCGGTCCATTTTGGATCCGGACCTCAAATCGAACCCTCACTCATCTACATGTCACCCTCCTCCTCCTCCTCTAAACAAGGTGCTGCTCAGTCTTCCCATCCAGTGATCGCGTCCTGGTGGTGGTAGCGTCTGCAACGACACAGACGACGGTGTCGGTGTTGAAAATGATGATGGTGGCGGTGATAGCCACGACGATGATGACGACGACCACCATCATCCTGAGTCTGGGCGACCTCCAGATCAGCTCGGCCGCCTCTCCTGCATCTCGCCGAACCTCAAACAGCAGCAGCAGAAGCAAGGCCATCGATCCGATCGGCACACTGCACGAAGTCTCACCACCAATACCAGCGGCAGACGAGCACGGCAGGGATAAACATGGCCCAGGGATGGAGGAGACACGCGCCGAGGAGGAGGAGGCAGAGGCGGTGCCGGCGATCATCAAGGAGCCGGTTGAGACCTGCAGGGGCTACTACGACGTGATGGGCCAGTGGGACGCACCGTTCGACTGCCTGACCAAGCCCTACACGCACTGCTGCGGCACCTGCGGCTTTCGCTTCTGCTGCCAGTTCCTGCGCGAGAAGCTGAACCAGCGGTCGTGCAACAATTACGACTCACCGGGCTGGGCTGACGTGGAGCAGCACCTGGGCGCCGGCGGCGCTGCGGGCTCCGTCACGCACGACAAACGCCACCCGCAGCACGAACGCGCAGCGCCACACGCTGCCGTGATCGCCGCGTGCGGGGTGGGCGCCCTGCTCGTAGTGGGGGCGGTGTTCGCGGGGATCGGGCTGCGCAAGTTGGCGGCGGAACGGGAGATCGGCCGAGCGAGCAGGTGTCGGAGTGTGAGCGGTGGTGGTTGCGGTGGTGGTTGCGGCGGTGGTGGTGGTTGCGGGCTAGCGCCGGGTTATCACAGTAGCAAAAGTAGCCACATGCGTTGACTTAAAGCTTTCGTGACTGCAGGGAATTCATATTCGTTTGGGTCTTTCGGTAAAAGGGCACGTAGGTAGAGGTTCTTTGAATATAAATTCCTGCAGTCACGAAAGCTTGAAGTCACCCCTCGTCCTGACGATGGGCGCTTGTGTTGCGATCGAAACGTCGTAGTATTTTTTTTGTTATTAACATCATGCTAATCTCCCAGTTACATGCTAATTTCTCACTTTAACATCCTGCTAATCTCTTAGTACCTTTCAGTGTAATGTTTAATATAATTTCCCAGTTACATGCTAATTTCTGACTTTAACATCCTGCTAATCTATCACATTAACTTAGCTACTTCAATGCTAAATTCTTCTGTTGATATGTAAACTCCTTTGTCAAGGCGCTCTGCTCCTCCCACCCAGCTTAAAAGACGCTGCCAAGCTTAGCAGTGTTCATTGGAACGCTGTTGTCCCGACAGTTCTGTTCCTTCACCTGAAGAATGCTACTTGTGTTGTGGCCGAAACGTCGTGAGAATTGTATTTTATTGTTTTATTTTTATTATTTTATTATTTCCCTTCTACGTGACTTTACCGAAAGAACCAAGAAGACTATCTACGTGACTTTACCGAAAGACCCAAATAATATAGCTACATTTGCTACGGGCCCCGCATTTTCATGGGCCCCGCGCTAAATGATTTCAAGCTATCAATTCCGGTTCAGCGATTCTGCACTTGCTCCATTACTATAGTACTATACCGCCTTCAACTTTTACGAACGACTGGGTGTCAAAGGTTAGCGATTTGTTGTATTATCTGGCTGTATAGCAAATGAAAAAATACAATTACTTTACTATGCAAGTTAAACATTTATGTGTTTTAATATTTACGTTTTTTTAATTTAGGGCCCCTTAATAAACATCACGCTACAGGCCCCGCACTCGCTTCATCCGGCACTTGTTGTTGTGGGTGTTGGGATGCGGTGCTGCAGCGGTTGGCGCGCTTGCGCTACGAACCCGTGTTCGATTCCCGCTCACGGTTAACACCAGTGACGATTATATCTGAACCGGTCCTGGGCCTCCCCTAGGTCGACTCGGCCTCAAATGAGTAGCTGGTACGGTGTGTAAACATCGCCACTGAGTAAACATCCCCTCGTGTGCGACAGCGCCGGCCTTCACAGGAGCTACTCGCTAGCAGCACTTGCTCCTCCAGTCTGTAAAGGCTGCACGGGGGATCTTTGTCTCTTGTCGTCGTGGTGATCTCCGTAGCGTCGTAGGCGGTGGAGGGTGCCCAGCCGCCCTCGTGTCGGGGGGGGGGGGCAGAAGGCTCAGCCACCGAACCCCCCACGGTTCAATTCTTTAAATCATCTCAAATAAATATCGGTGCAAATATGTATGGATTCGTGATGGTTTAGCGACGGGCGTGCCAGCGGCGCGCTGGCCGGGCCGAGAGACAATGAGCAGGCACCAGCATTCTGGTGTGGAGTTGTCCGGGTGTCAGCCACTGCCCGTGACGATTAAACCTGCGTCTCGAGTGGAGCGAATTGATCATCCCAGCGCGGTAGGCCTACAAAAAAATGAATCACGTAAATCGTTTTTTTCGCTCTTTTAGTTTGGTAAAATAATTTCGAATACTTACCTGATGCCTCGAGCATGCTTGGAATACAATCGACGCAAAAGACTAAATGACTAATGATACAAATGAGGTGATGGTGGTGGTGGTGATGAAGGTGGTTGAAGCGTGGTGATTGAGATGACATGGTAGTGGAGGTGGTTAGTGATGGAGAGGATGTTGATGAAGTTGATGATGAAGGCAATGAAACTGCTCCCGCCTATGATTATCATCATTGTGATGATGATGTGAAGTCGTCAACGCTATTGCTTACGAAGAACATTGGAGGCGTAACTATACATCAGTGCACCGATGACTAATACACATGGTTACAATCTCAATACTTGCATTGAATTGTTCATGTACACATTCATGCATTTTCTATTGATATAGAGTATCTTGTAATGTAATGGGGGTCGTGTGCCACCTGCAACTTTTTGTAACTGCTCAAAGACAATTGATAATGCAATCCAATTACTACCCAGAATCGGGAAAGTTAATAGACTCCTCTAGAACAATGGCATTGATGAATTTACAATGCATCCTCCTCTGTCTCCCCTTGCACCTATCCACCGTGCTCTTCCTCCTCCCCCCCCAAGGCTCTCGGAGATAGTACAGCAGGAAGGACAGCTGGGGATGCAGATCCTGCAATGTGCAGGGACTGAAGAAGAAAAAGCAGCAGCAGCAGCAACAACAACAACCACCTCTGCGGAGTTTCCATGTGGTAGGTTCCACATTCTCTCCACTTCCCCCATCACTGTCCTCATTAGTGTATCACAAATCTTCCCTTAGCAAAGCGAGAGAGATCGTTTCAACACGTAGTACGTGGCGTCTGCAATGTCCGATTTGCCTCATCTGAAATAAAAATCGTTTCTGGGAGGCTCAACCTATCTGCCTCAACTCGGCAGCCTTTCCAAATCACCATGCCACAGTGCCACCACGTTTGGCAGAAGGGCGGACGTGACGCCATGAGATCTATAGCTCTCCCCCGGTGACGTCACACGTTCGGATCAAACTGAAACACAACCTGTGTTGGATCGTCCGAAATCCAGTGTTGGGGTCGGTTTTCACGGATTTTTCGGGTGAATCCTAAACCAGGGAAACCACCCCCTCGTGTGCACTGCTCTGCTGCCACCCAGTGACCGCACCACTACGCTAACGATGACGATTATGGTAACAGTGATGGCTACGATGATGACCTGGGAATTATTGCTATTTAAAGCTAAAGTGTGTTATTATGCTTATGCTGGTTATCACGATGATATTGATGACGATGATAATGTTCATGGTACTACTGCTCTTTCTGCTAATTATGCTAAATGATAGTGCTTCTGCTGCTTCTGATGATGATGATAAAGCTGATGCCAATGAAGCTGTTTCTGTTGCCACTGCTTATGATGATTGTGCTGCTTCCTCTGTTTCTGTCGCTGCTCCTAACGATGATGATGATGGTGACGATGATGATGTTTTCCTAGAAACATCGACGCTGGGTGCCGCTGTGTATGGAGGAGCGGCGTTCTTTGTGCAGAACGCATTGGCCGGGCAGCACAGCCCCCACCACCCACCCACGGCCATGCCCACAATGCCCCCAATGCCCCCCTTGTCCGTGCCCACCATAGAGACCCTGCACGCCTCCCCCAAGCGACGCAGGCACAGCGTGTCCTCCATAAACTCGCTCGGTGAGTTCGCATCATCCTCGTCGTCATCGTCAACATCATCATCATCAGCCGCAGCAACAGTGGCATTAGCAGCATTGTTATCCAAATCATTGCCATAATCATTATTATCAGCAGTATTATTGCAATTCGCCAAGTCTTCATCGTGATAAGCAGCAGCAGCATACTCCAATGTGTTCAGCGGTGCTAATTTCTCCATGTAGTCACCCGATATCTGTTTAACGTTGCCGTAACTTAAATCGGAATTTTACCATAATCAGTCTAAAAATAAATCTGCCCGAGCCGAATTAAGCTAACAGCGACTTTATCATTTGACACTGACTCATGTTTATCCAATATCATCTATTTCTCACGCGACACGGTTGTTTTTGCTCTCAATTCTATTTGCTTCATTGCTGCGCTTGATTTTGTTTGCTTTTGCTTTTGTCATTTTAGTGAACCAAATTAGACTGAGCTGGCTATACAAAATAGAGTAAACTTGAAACTACATCATTTCCTTTCCCATGTCTCTCTCCCTCCTCTCTCTCGCTCTCTCATCTCCCCCCCCCCCTCTCGCCACACAAGACGACGATGATGACTTCAGGTGTCGCCATCAGGGCCGCTGCTCAGGGCGAGTAGCAGGAAGGCCCCCCGTGATCCAGGGCCTCCCGCGGGCCCCCTACCCCCGTCGCCACCAGCAAGCGGGACGCGGGACCCCTTGCAAACTCCGAATGACCAAGATGTATCCGGACCCCGAGGGGTTTCGGTGGCAGGATCCCTCGGCTGGCGCCCAGCCCCCGCAAGACACACGTTGGCAGGGTCGTAGGTCTACAACCGTGGACCACAGCACTCAGCAGCTGAACCCCGGGCCGACCCGCGCGTATCACTCCACCTACTCAAAGCGAGAGGTCGTCGTGTAGAACAGGGGCTCCTCCAACTTTAAAACGTTGTTGTAGTTCCCACCCCCCCCCCCCCCCCCCGAATTGGTATCCCGTTTGTTGCTATCGCCGTCGCGCCATCAAACGAGGAACCCATTGGCATCTCTCGAAGAGGTGTTGCGCAACCGGTTGAGTCGGAGGCTGGTCCGCTGAAGTGGATACCACAGAGCTACCTCTGAGATCCCTTCTTCAGGTGTCCCCCGATTCACACAGCAGAGGGCAGCAATCTGCCAAGTTTTAAACACATCCCATTAATTCAGTTACCCGAACTGAACCTCAAATTTTTGGTTTTACCTTTTGATGCCGCGTTATTTGGGTTACTCAAACAAGCGACAGGGTTTCGTTTTTGTTTAGCTTGCCACTTGTTCTTTTTTGCTGCACAATGAGATATGTTTTCAGTGTGGTGTATTTTTTTATTAGACTCGGATGACGTTTCGAGCATTGGCCCTTCTTCATAGAAAATCGACCAGAGAGAGATGGAATGAATGATACGAGATGGAGACTGCACTTTATTGTTTTTGTATTGCTTTGTGACAGTTCTCTGCTAAACTGGCCCCACAGTGTCCGGGTGTTCATTGCCTCCTGTGATCCCAGAAAAACCAACAGCGATTGTTAAACAAGCCACGTCCCTGCTGGTGAGACGTGGAGAAGTTGAAACCTAATAATAGGGTTTTTCCCCTTTTTTCTGGCAACAAAACTGAAACCTTTTCACAAGGATTCATGTCTGCATTAACCACAATACCTGCAGTCAAAATGCAAACAAAAACATACTATGATAATATATGCATTGTGAGTTTCAAGGACAATACATATATGATCATAGTAGTTTTTTGTTTGCATTTTGACTGCAGGTATTGTGGTTAATGCAGACATGAATCCTCGTAAAAAGGTTTCAGTTTTGTTGCCAGAAAGAAGGGGAAAAACCCTATTATTACATTTTGGTACTGGCAAAGGAGGTCTAATGATGTAGATGCTCACCCCAAGCCCTCATTACTTTGATAGTGCATTGTCTTTGAGCTGTACGCCTTTTGACGTCCTCTGGTCGAGCACCAATTGGGTCGAGGCTCAAAAGAAAGACGTCCCTTGGTGTGGACCAATCAGTTTCAAGGACAATGCATATATTATCATAGTATGTTTTTTGTTTGCATTTTGACTGCAGGTATTGTGGTTAATGCAGACATGAATCCTTGTAAAAAAGTTTCAGTTTTGATGCCGGAAAAAAAGGGGAAAAACCCTATTATTACATTTTGGTACTGGCAAAGGAGGTCTAATGAAGTTGAAACCTGTACAGGGTTCAATCGATGCTGCTGGGAAACACTGATTCAGAAGCCCCATAGGCTGATGGACCAAAGTTAAATTTTATTCTATATGTGGGGTAAAAGTGAATGATTTTTGTGGGCCGTGTGATTAAATCAGATGGACGTGTGTAGATACTGAGATGATCTTGTCCCGGTCACCGATAACTACACAAAAACTACTCTGTGTTTTTACATAGGTGTGTGTGTATATACGTGTACGTAGCCTGGCATTTACAGATAAATATTTAATTAGTGTTGCAAAATGTACGGTTGCAGATGAACCCAAGTGCTATTTTAACTGCATGGTTTTAAAGTGTTATGGAGGATAATAATTTGATGTACAGGCACATTGGATTTAAGAAAGGTGCATCAAAGAAATTAAGTTTTATTGGTTGAGTGATAAAATACCTCGCTTAACATTTTCCCATTAACGATCTCTGTTCATTTATTATTATTATTCAAAGGGCTGTCGTGTTTTTTTGTTTAATAAAGCATCACGTAGATTACTAATCTTTATACAATGTGTGGATGATGATGATGATGATGAAAGGGATTTCCTCCAGCTTTCCCCCCGGGTAAACCACAATTGAGTGACACTACCAAGCCCTTGACAAAAACAAACCCGGAATTCTTGCGGCCTCCTTGGAGCTTGGAAGAAGCTAAACAACATCGAGCCTGGATACCCAGTAAACATTGGCATTGAGGTTGGAACGGTTGGACTAAGGTTGGCCCCAACGTTCCATGTTTAGTGTGGAGTGCCCGGGTGAGTGACCATCATGTACAGCATGTGTGTAGTTTGCTGAGGGGGCTATGATGTTCGGATGAGCTTTTGGATGACACATTTTGCATGGTGAAATTTAATATATTAATTTTTATTCTGAAGGACAACTTTAGATATATACGTTTTTTTCTGGATTTACAGATAATTTCCACGACGTATTAATTCAAACGTGCTTTCGTGCTTACAAAAGTGACGTCATCCGACATCATGTGACACCACTTTTTGCGGTAAAAGCACACACAAAATGGAGTGATATAAAATCGGAAACAGGACATTATTTTTTTGGACCATCCGAAATGTCGTATCCGGGCCAGATTATTATTCTGATTAATCTTAAAATCTGGAACACATCCCCGGTATGTTGATAGCAGTGCTGCAATTTCAAAAAATCGATGCTCCCCACCTTCACTCAATCAGTATCGAGTTCGGTCAAATAACCGCCACGACCCGCACGGCGTGGGGATGCCCTCATCCAGCAGTGGATGGAGATGCGGGCTGTGCCCGTGCCCGCTACGCGCGAGCATGCACGGTGCAGTGCGGCTTGGGATCGCCCCGTGGTGAAGGCAGTCGATAGCCGCATGAGAAATGGACGCAGCCCTGCAGATGAGTGTGTGTGTGTGGGGGGGGGGGTTAGTGTGGGGCACACAACGCAGTCACCTCCGATTAGCACGGTTGGCTACGTACGGTGCGAAAGACGCCCAGCGTACGTACATACGATGGTTCAAAAAAATAAAAAACTTCAACCCAAATGCCAAACGCTAAACAGATTTTGAGGAGCGATGGGGCCTGCCCGTGTCTACCGCATTCTGCTTCGATAGCGCTCTCAATCCTCCCTGTGTATACAGTGTAATCATTTAAATATCGTCATTCACGCAAATTTGCATCTCAAAAATCGTACAAAAAAAATGCATCGCCCGCAAAAACATCACGCGAAAATAATTTAAAAAATAACTGGGAAAAAAAAACCGGTACAAGAAGAGCACAGATTAACAGAAAAAAACCCGACTGAGAGCACGGGGGTGACCGGAGCATGGAGCACGTGGTTCAACATCAAGCACTCACTCACTCATGCTCCCTACATCCAAGAAAGTCCGGGGAACAATGAGAGCGATAACAATAATTGGGTTTCACACAGCGTTACGCATGCACAAAACAACCCTCGCACATATCGGCAAAGAGCAGCAGCAGCAAACAAGAACGTGCATGTGATCTGAATGTTGAAAGGGAGCTGATCTGACGTCCTATGGCAGGCTAAGTGCAATGGGCTTGCATTCCATGCTGTGCCCAAGAACACACATTCACTGCTGTTAAATATTGCACGAAATTCTTTTTTTACTTGTTCGGTGGAGACGGCAGGGGAGGGGGCTCACCCTTTATGGGACGGGGTGGGTGAGTTTAACTTAAACCCCTTCTACTTGGGTTGCCAACTCTGAGCTACAATAAAATAAACAAGCGGGACATAGTGGGAGTAAGAATATCTCACAATAGCGAGAGAGAGAGAGCGAGAGAGCGGAGAACTGATTGTGAACGAATCGTCCACGAACGGCGTCTTCACACGATGCACGTGAGAAAAAAAAAACCGGGACTTATTACGTCCCGGGAAGATTTTTTTAAAGTTTTCCCAGGGCGACAGGACTACCACCGCAGCAGGCCGAGGATCCTGGGAAACCCGGGACAGTTGGCAAACCCTACCCGTGGTAACTATGGAGCCGGATAGATGATGAACAGAAGAGTCAGAAAATTCATGGGGATACCAGCAAGAACATCAGGGTCATCCAACTCACTCTAAACCACCCTCGCTCACCATCGACATTCGCATCGCGACATTCCCTCTACCCCGAGCGATTCCGCTCCGTTCCAGCAGAGGTCACGGCAGACTGCTCTATGGCGACTTTGCAGTTTGATCACCGCGGTTTGCAGCGTTGAATTTCTTGCGAGGCAACGCGACGTTCCGTCCCCAACACAATGATCCCGACCGATGAAGCAAATGTCAGCCCTAGGCGACGGACCAACAACAAACGCGAACTTCACTTAAGAGTTAATCAGCTTTTAAAATAAAATAAAAAAACGTACCTACCTAATGTGAACATTGCATATTTCTCTCATTTTCTTTACAGGCGTTTTTGTTGCTGTTAAATATTCTTGCTCAATTCAGGAAACGTTTCGACTCTTATCTTCACTTTAATTTTTTCAGTTTCATTTATTAGGTATAGCCCTGTGAGCCATGCGGCTCTTGAATCGGGTGCAACCGCAACAAACAAAAAACATGAACAAGAAGCAGAAAAATCCAGGAAAAAACAGCGAAGTCTACCAGCAAAGCCTTTAAGAGTGCTGACTGTTGCTGGCTGCTTGGCTGTTTCTGGGCTTGGGGGCTCTGCTGAGCGACCGCGATGAAAGAATTCAAAACAAATAATTAGCGCTCAGCTCGTTGGCTGCCTCGATGCCAGGTCGTCCTCTGTGTCGGGGGGGGGGTGAGACACTTTTGTGGATGTGCGAGGAGAGAAAGGCACGAGGCACAGGAGAGCTGTAAGGGCACAGGAGGGTCCTTTGGGGATATTCTTGTGACGCATCCATTGCACCGCGCAGATGTTGAAATCAACCCCGTCAGCAAAACGTGCAGGTTAATTAGTCTCCCGCAAGCACAGGGCATTGCCTACACGCCTCTTCCACCGAATCGTCTGAGGTTTCACCCAAGCAAATGGAACTCTGGCGAAACGAGATGCTCATTAGTGAGCAATTTGTGCAAATAAGCACCTGCGTGTGGTTAAGATATCGCCGATATTTTTGGTCGCATTAGAAAGCCATAAACGCGGAGTGATATCGCAACAGTGAGCAACAGAACACTGAACACAATCGTCAATACCACTGCCGTTAAATAAACAAATAAACCCAATAGGCGATGTTGCGAGCAATGGCCATAGCACGGTGCCCTAATGCCAATAATGTTCAGCCCTTTTAGTTTAGGTAGTGTAACAATTTGTGCCGTAAAGCCTCCGCCACCCGACGCAGCCAGTTAATAAAAGTGTCCCGTGAATGAAACGTCGGCCAAATTATTTCGGGTTCAGCTGCACCACCGGTGTTTGTTGTTGTTGTTGTTGGAGAGCGATCTCACAACATTCACATGGGTGCGGGCGTTTCGCTGGAGATGATTACAGCCAGCATCATCACGATCTCTCGATCTAATGTAGGAGTTGTTTGACCATACTTCACCATGCTGGTCAGTGAAGGTTGGTGAATGTGGTGGGAGGGGACGCGGGAGAGGTCCGGTTCGAAAGTCGTAGAACAATGCGATGGAGGAAGAAGAGAGAGAGAGAGGAGTGAGGTGACCTGCGGTGAGGTGAGTGAGTGGGTGTGTGGGTTGTTGTGCGGTCGAACACAGTGCGATGATGGATGAGACAAAACGGTGCCTGGCAGACACACTCCTCCACATGGGCGGAGGAATCAACGAGTGAAGTGCACGGGAACAGAAATCACGGAGTGTGGTAGCGACGAAGGAGTCAAAAGGAGTCGACTGACCGGCGGAGAGCCAGTGGCTGAAAAGCTGAATTGGTGCCAGCTGAATAACGCTTCTGGCATTCCAGCTACCTCCCACACCAATAAATGTTATCCAACCTAATAAAAAAATGATTTGGCTAAATCACCCCGAGCATGACCCTCCTGCAAATGAGTCCTGAGGCTCAGG